GCGGTGCGCCAGCCGCAGCGTGCCCACCGTGGCGGCCATTGGATGGTGAACCAACGGCAAAAGGAAGACCTTCTCTCTGTCTCTCTCTCTCACTATCCACTCTGCCGGTCAAAAAAAAAAAAAAAATAGATCACATTATGGTTAATATCCATTGTGTATAATAAAATTCTTCATATAAGAAAGTTAAAAAAAAAACTATTAGGAGAAAACAGTCGAAGGAGAGAAGAATAAATAGAGATGTCCACTAAGTGTCTAAGGAGATAGATAACAGCACAAAATGCCATCTATAAATCATCATTTCCCTCACGAAGGTCAGGGAGTATGGGTGATGCTCAGCTCTGGTGAAGGCTGGAAGGGGCACCTGTCTCCTGCACGCTTCGTTGTATCTGGGCATATGGTAGATCCAGCAGGTGCACACTCTTCAATCCAGGAAATTCAGTTCTAGGGACTTTTCCAGCAGAAATACTTGCATTTGACACAGCAGTTAAGACGCCACTTGGGACGCCCACATCCCACATCAAAGTGCTAGGAATCCTGCCTCCACCCCCACCCCCACCCGGCTTCCTTCTGCTGCGCATCCAGGAGGCAGCAGGTAATGGCTCAAGCACTGGGGTTTCTGCCACCATATGGGAGATCCAGCTAGAGCTCTGGGCTCCTGGCTTGGCTATTGCAGATATTTAGAGAGTGAACCAGTGGATGGAAGGCCTCTGGCTGTCTGTCTCTCTGCCTTCAAATAAAATCAAAATGAAAATTTTAAAAATAGTTGTTCAAATGTGGGAAGATAAAGTCCAAAGATTTTCATGGCAGTGTTATTCGCATTAGTGAAAAATTGAAAACAATGTAAATCAATAGAGAACTAGTTAATGAATATGGTGTAATGGAAATTGTTCACATTTCCTGGGAACCTGGTGTGTGCCACACAGGGTTCCCCGCACTTTTACAGGTATTAGCTGATTTAATCCTTACAACCCCTCAGGGAGATAGTACTACTCCACCCATTTCACAGATAAGGCAATTGAGGCAGAGAAGGTCTAAAAACTTGAAAACAAAGTGTTGGACACGTATGAGTGGTTTGATGTCACTTCACATGATTGAGCAGAGGCCGTGCCCGTGTGCGTGGACGCTACATCCGCCTGTGGGTGGGAAGGTCCCGGGTGGCTTCGCAGGAATCTGCTCACTGTGAACTCTGAAGACTGAAGGTCAGAGTGGAAGATTTCCTTTTTTTTTTTTTTTTTTAACAGGCAGAGTGGACAGTGAGAGAGAGACAGAGAGAAAGGTCTTCCTTTTGCCGTTGGTTCACCCTCCAATGGCTGCCATGGCCAGTGTGATCCGAAGGCAGGAGCCAGGTGCTTCTCCTGGTCTCCCATGGGGTGCAGGGCCAAGCACTTGGGCCATCCTCCACTGCACTCCCGGGCCACAGCAGAGAGCTGGTCTGGAAGAGGGGCAACCGGGACAGAATCTGGCGCCCCTCCCGGGACTAGAACCCAGTGTGCTGGCACCACAGGCAGAGGATTAGCCTATGAAGCCAAGGTGCCGGCCAAGATTTCCATTTTTGCTTTATACACTTTCTGTGTCTTGATTAAAAAAAAAAAAAAAAAGCCTTCATTTTGTAATTTAAAACCAGTTTAGTAACCCACTACCTTTAGCTCCAAGAAGCTCCCTGGACTCAATCCATTTGCGTGCTTTGGTTCCTTTTCAGGGACTGAAGCAGGCCTCAGGAAGAAAGGGCGCTCACTCCAGTGAGATGGCTCCAGGGCAGGGGGATGGGTGGGTGGTGTAAGAGTGTGACACTTGGACTGGCTCAAGGAAGGAGGGGGGGCGGGGGTGGCAGAGGAAGGAGCAGGGAGACAAGACTGGATTGGAGCAGCACTCAGAAGCGGCTCCCATCCCCCTGCCGGCTGCCCTCCTCCAGGCGACTCCTCTGGCCAGCCCAGCAGGCAGGACACAGCCCCAGGAGCCTCTGAGGCAGCTTCACACCGTTCAGACAATTCTTTTGGCACAATGTCTCATTCCAAGGAGTCAGACGAACTTGTTTTCTTTGTGAATGGGAGAAAGGTAAGATTTCCACAGTGCTGTGACTAAATTCCTGTAGAGAAAGAATCAGGGGAGAAGCAATGTTTTATTACTGTTGGCCAGGGAGGGTTTAGGTTCTAGTGATTGCTGTGTGAGCAGCTGACCGGCCTTGGGAGGATGCAAGCCTAATCCACTTGTATCTGCGGGTCTGGGAGAGAGAAGAGAGAGAGATGGGGTAGAAGGACAGAGAAACTCCGTCTGTTACATCTACCCTGTGTTGCTAGTACTTGTTTGAAAGCACTGGTGTTAGGACGTCCTCAAGAATTGCATTTGTATTCATCCACGCATGTTTTCCTCCTGACTAGGGTCTTGTCACCACCCCACCCCTCCCCCAAGCCTGCATCACCACCACCACGTACAACCCAGGATCATTTTACAAAGAGACAACTTTTGGCCAGTGAAAAAAGTCAGACCAGAAAGCCAGGAATAAGTTTCCCAGTTGGTTTACATTTTAACACTTTGCTCATCTAAGTGGCCCAGATTCTTAAATCATGTAAGAGAATAAACTGGTTAATGTTCTGGCTCCACTTAGTTTGAGTTCTTGAGATTACTGAAGCATAATCCATGACCACAATGTACTCTTTGCTTTCCACTGCCCTTGACACGCTGCACTGAGGTGCAACCCAATATGCTTGTTTGCAGCATTATTGGAAAAGAGGAGGAAGAAGCAGTCGAAGTTGAAACCGAATGCCATGGTGCAGTGTGCTGTGCACTGCAAACACAGCTGTGACCAGAGAGGACAGCTCAGGGTGCACGTGCCTGTGTGGGGCGCCCAAGGTCACTCAGCTAAGCTGCTTGCTGCACCTGTCTGCTCCCAGAGTCTGTGTTCTTCTCCCTGCTCCATGTTCCCTCTGCAAAGGAGGCGACAGTTCTTTAGGAATCCCTTCACCAATGGCAGGCGCGAGTGGGTTGTGAGAGCATTTTCCCGTTTGTGCTGAAAGAATGCTATTTGTCTACCACCTGCCAAGGTCTTGCTTATGTAACTTTTCAAATGTGAATGAAGATCGAAGAGCAAGAAGTATATTTTGCAGGTGGGGATGAGAATGAACATCTACAGTTTAAATCCCCATTCCTTTACGTGGCTGTATTGTTACTCAATATTTCACCACTTTCTTAAAATTTTCCTGAAGCCAATGTTGTGCTAAAATGAAAATTCTGGTTAGGTTTTTCTGTGAGACAAAGCCAAACATTTGTCCTGCCAAAATAAGTCTAAGACAATAAAGCATTGTGTAACTTTATACTTGCAAAGAATGATGTTTGACCAAGTCCGGCAAACAAGGTCCACACACATTCCAAAAGGTTCTTACTATTCAGAAATAATGAGCCACAGAAAGCTGCCTCAACCTATATAATCATTTCCTTTTCATAGATCGTGGAGAGGAGAGTTCTGACCCTGAAGAAAACTTACTGTTCTATCTGAGAAAGAAAACGTATCCTTTCACTTGTTTGAGACAGCAAGGCAAATGAGGAACTCTAGAAACTGCAATGGCCCTTGCACTTACGTAACTTTTTCCTCTTTGTATCTTGTTCCAAAGCATTTTCTTTGTGTAGAAGAGTGGAGGAGGGTAAGTGGCCCATCCGGCACGTGGAATGGTCTGTGACAATGGTCCACATTGAAGCCTGGATAATGATCACCTGGCATCTGGGTTACAATGTGGATTTTTTTTCAGCCCTACTCCCAAGATCCTGAGTCCCTGAGACAAGCTAGTTCATGGGACCTTCTTGATCCGTAGCACATTTAGCTGAGGTTCTGGCCTCGGTCTCCAGGGCCAGCTGGTGACCATGTGACCCCAGGCTGTGCTACCCTCCCTGGAACAGAGGGTTGACTGAGGGTAGCCCTTAGGAGTCAGTTGGAGCCCCCCAAAGTTAAGTCCCAAGTGTGCCTAAGCAGTCTGCCCCCGGAGGTTGTTCTGACGGATTATCAAACTTCCAGTACAAGGTCAGACCAGACAGGTGCCCCTGGCAGGCTGGTCCTGGGTGGGTCTCAAGACTGGAAAACACATCTACACCTGCAACCAAGTGAGAAATGAGAGCCAGCAACCAGCCTGGCAAACACTGATATTTGGCCGCTGTGTGTTTGGTTTTATACTTTAAGAAAGGGTGACAGAGAGGGATTAAAAGCGTCCTTAGAATATCCTGTTCGTGCACATTCTTTTCTCTTGACATTTCACATCCGTATAATCAAATAAATGTCTCACAATGGTGTGGTGTGTTTCCCACGTTGCCTCGGGAAACTGGCTCTAATTCACTAGATCCCTTCTGCCCAGCCCTTCACCAGTGTAAAAATGAATGGAAAGTTCAGGCATTTTTGTGTCAGATGGCTTATAGCTATTTTCCTCTTTTTGGGCCAAAATCCCTTAAGTTGTACACGTATTAGATTATTTTCCAATTACTTTGAAACACTTCCTGTTTCAAAGAGTTGATAGTGGGAAGGGTCCAATTGTATTGGAAATTTTCAATTCTCAGTGACTTGTGTACTGTTAAGTGCCTTTCTACTTCCTGACTTCATGTGAATTAAAAGAGAGAGCACTCAACTGAGATCGTATTTGGAGTCTTTCTAAACCAGGAAGGAACAGGACTTTATTTAAAAGAGAGAGAGAGAGAGAGAGAGAGAGAGATTTAGATTTTTTTTTATTTGAAAGGCAGAGAGAGGGAGAAATCTTCCATCTACTAGTTCACTCTCCAAATGACCGCAAATCAGGAGCCTGGAACTCCATCCTGGTCTCCCACATGGGTGGCAGGGGCCCAAAGATTTGGGCCATCTCCTGCTGCTCTCCCAGGTACCCTAGCAGGGAGCTGGATCAGAAGTGGAGCAGCCAGGACTTATACCACAACGCCAGTTTCCCAATTAGAGCTTTAAACTTCAGAGAAGTCCCCTCCCCTGATCCGCAGTTGAAGTTGAAGGTTTCTCCCTTGGCCGCTGGGTTATGGGGCAGCTTGGTGTGAGATGCCGCTTTCCAACTGATTTGCACGTGGCACCAATCACACGCAAGGAAGCACGTAGTCATGAAGGACTGAACCTCTCCTTATATGTGAAAGTTTAAGGCCAAGGGACTGAGAAAGTTCAAGTTCCTCTTTTTGCCTTGACCATAACCCTTCCAGTCCGACTCACAGGGACCAAGTATGGCTGTGGAGGAGGGTCCTGTGGTGCCTGCACAGTGATGATCTCAAGATATGACCCCATCTCTAAGAAGATACGGTATCCTTGCTCCAGACTCCCATATTGATTTCTATAGGATTTCACTCCTGGCACACTGTGGCCCGTGTCCCCCTCAACAAAGGAAACTAAGCAACCTCAGCTTTTGTGACCTGGAACTAAAATAATCAATTGTAGATGTTGACAATTGGAGAGGGGAGGCCCCAGATTCAACCGGTATCTACTAGGCTATCCCACTCTCGGCCCTGGGAACCAAAGTCGCCTCCACTCGGGAAACGCACACTCTGGTGAAAGTGGTACATGACTCGCCTTACACCTGGTCTCTTCCACCTTCTGGAAGATCACACGTACCCTAGAGGTGGTTCTGAGGGAGCAAGCTAGTTGGTAGTAGTTGGTTGTCTGGTCATCACAACCAACAAGCTGACATGGGCTTAGGAACAAACAGAGGCCATTTCCACTGCGGAGAGTTTTTTAAACAGGTAGTTAATTCGGAGGGAGAAATGTCTTTCTTAATTCCGAATGGTAGAATGCTTATTTTCAGGAAGATGTATTCAAGCTCAGAATCATTTATGTGATGGCCCAGCTCTAACATACAATCAATTGTATTCATGATGGAAGAATTACTGTCATAATCATCTAAACAGGTTTCTCTTTGTATTTTTTTTTTTTTTTGGAAATTGCTGCTGTCACTGTGTCCTTGGCTTCACCGTGTAAACTCTGAAGTCACTTCTCTGCCACCGCCTGCCTGGTGCCCATCTGCTCTCTCTATGGGGCCGCTGTCACCACCGTAGAAGGCATAGGAAGCACCAAAACCAGGATTCACCCTGTTCAGGTAAGAGTGCATGTTAACAAGTGTGGATGAACGCAGGTTCAGGTGGCTTGTCTAGACCCTTAGCTTGTGGCTTTTAGAACACGATGGGTACACTGACAGTGTGGTGCTGCATGTTAAGCCTGTGGCAGCAGCATGCCATCTGAGCACCAGTTCAAGTCCTTGATGCTCCACTTCCAATCCAGTTCCCTGCTAATGCTCCTGGGCACACAACAGAAGATGGCCCAAGTGCTTGGTCCCTGCCCATGTAGGAGAGTCAGATGAAGCTTCTGGCTTTGGCCTGGCCCATCCCTGGCCATGGCAGTCATTTGGGGAGTGAACCAGTGGATGGAAGACACCTCTCTCTCTCTCTCTCTCTCTCTTTCTCTCTCTCTCTCTCTCCCCCTCTCTCTGTAACTCTGCTTTTCAATAAATCAATCTTTTTTTTTTTAAAGGCAAAGATGGCGGATGAAGGTCTTTGTCCCCTTTATAAGAAAAAAATATTACTCTTAGTATCCTTTTTTCCCTCTTGGCTTTCTTTATTACTATTTGAAGCTTATAATGCTTCCATAAAAGCTTGGAGAAGGCTCCCAGCCTGAGTCACTTTAGACTGTCGCATTGTCTCATGGATCCAAGGCTATCAGACTCCCTCCATGAATACCTTGGATCCTACCACAGAGACATGGGAAGGGCACCGCATGTTCCTCCTGTACTCTTTAAAGAAATGAGAAAAATAAGAAAGCACATTCCGCGTTTGGTCCAGGTAAATCATGCTGTTAATTCTAGCCGGAGAAAATATTTTTATAGCCTGAATATTGGAATTTGTCATTTGTTGCTTTGATCAAGACCATATATATGTTGAAGGTGCACCCCAACTGCATTATAAATTCTTTGAGGACAAGGATCATATGTTGTTCAAAACACGCCTTCCTGTGCCACAAGGAATTGGTATCCCACAAAGGTTGTTCACGGGGCATGGCATCAGAGGCCGGAGGGAGGGACACCATGGGCCTGTGTGTGTTCTCCAGCTCCAGGAAACTCCTTCAAATCAGAAGCACACAGTCGGTTGCTTTAGTCTCAGGATGAGGTTTTATAGAATAAGTTGTATCTCATGTACTGAAAACTCGTTAGTGAAAATATCCAAACAGGAATGGAACGTTGGGGACCTGCCAGGATTGGAACAAAAAGTAAGACATGGAAATGCTGAAGTTGTCCTTATAGAGAGAAACCTTGACAATATGGCCCTCCAATTGGAATTCATGTGTGTGTGTGCATGTACGTGTGTGTGTGTGTGTGTGTGTGAGCACACATGGATATGAGGTATGCCCAAGTGGTGGGAGAATGAGGAGAAAACACAAAAGTAGATAATCTCGATTTCTGTGATCTTGACTAAGCCTAAACTGTACCCTTGAAGCATGCCCTGGGTTGACATTGAGAATACTCTTTCCCAACCACCTCAATGGAATCTTTTTCCCGAGAAAGCCTCCCTGGGCGTCTGAGATGTGAACAGTCATGGCACTTCTGGTTCTTCCTCTAAGCCCTGTACCTACTTTGAGCTGTACCTGTGCTTCATCTCTGAGAGCTTCCTAGCACTAAGCTTTCAAGTTGTGCACATCCCCCACTCCCACCTGTGTCCTTCGCTTTTAGGAAAGGATTGCTAAAGGCCACGGTACCCAGTGTGGGTTCTGCACCCCAGGAATGGTGATGAGCATCTATACTCTCCTGAGGAACCACCCGGAGCCCTCTACAGAACAGTTAATGGAAACCTTGGGTGGTAAGTCACCAGCCTCTTAAATTTGTAGGATCAGGATGGGGCTGGCACTGTGGCATAGTAGGCTAAGTCTCTGCCTGCAGCACCAGCATCCCATGTGGGTTATGGTTCGTGTCCCGGTTGCCCCTCTTCCAATCCAGCTCTCTGCTAGTGGTCTGGGAAAGCAGTAGAAGATGGCCCAGGTGCTTGAGAGTGAGAGACCCAGAAGAAGCTCCTGGTTCCTGGCTTCAGATCAGTCCAACTCCAGCCATTGCAGCCATTTGGGAAGTGAACCAGTGGATGGAAGACCTTTCTCTCTGTCTCTCCCTCTCTCTGTCTATAACTCCACCTCTCAAGTAAATAAATAAAATCTTTTAAAAATGGGGATCAGGATGCTAGAGCATTTTCATCCAAGGAATTAGGCCACAGGGCTTGACAAAGATGTACTGATTGATCATTATGATCCACACCTCGTGAGTACTATTGGCAAATGTTTTCCATACCAATTTAGCAATCGAGGAAACAGGCAACCAGCCAGAAAGTAAAGTGAATTTTCCATGTGACTATTCCATTCTTGGGGCCATATCAATTGTTTCTGGCAACTTTAGTGTGCTCTGTATTTGCATAGCATACACTTACTAAACAGTCTTTGCATGGGTGTCACTGATGAATCACAATGCTATTGGAATGGTATTTGGTAATATTTGGGCTTTAACATCTTTTAAATATGTACTTAGAGCTGGCCAGAAAAGCAGTGACCTTTTGGGTTGTGTTTTCTTGTTTTTTGTGACTGTTGCTGTTACAGCTGCTGCCAAAGTATTCTTAATGCTTATGAAATCACAGACCCTTTGGAATTAAGGAGAAAATCACTTATAACTTATAAACTTGCATTCAATTGAAATGCCTTCAGACTTCTAGAATGGCATTTCCCTTTTTTTGTACCTTTAGGAACATTTTTATTCTTATTAAATTTCATATTTATGAGGGTACTTCAAAAGTTTCATGGAGAATGGTATTAAATTATAAGTTTCTTTGGTGCAAATATTGTAAAATCCATACATACTTTTACATAATGTTCATTTTCCATGAGCTTTTGAAAGGCTACTTGTATGCATAGATTTCAAAGTGTTCTTGTGCCAATATAAACCTGTATTTTAATTCCATTTTCCTTCATGTTTTGAAGTACCCTCATGCATTCCATCTGTCAAGATACTTTTTCAGTTTTCATGTTGTTTGCAAATCTAAAAACATTGCCTACTGTCTTTATGTAAGTCATTGACAAACACTGAACAGAATAAGTCAAGCAGAGAACTCTGAGAAATTAATCAATGCTGTTCACATTGCTCTGTTTCATCAAGTGTCACGCATTGACCTTCATCCGTCCTCTCCTCAGAGGCACACAGGTGGGTCCCATGCACTGTGAATTCCCCGTGCACTGCTTTTATGGCACTGAGCAGATTCTCAGCCTAGAATTCTTATCCCCAAAGGAAGTGGGGCTAGTTTTCTTGAGTATCCACCCTTCCCCATGCTCCTAGGCCCTTCCAGCAATCCTCTATTCCAAAATGGATCCAGGAAACTGCCTGGGAAGGAAGCCAGCCTCACCTAATATCGGTCTTTTTGGAAACCAGGATCTATGATTGCCTGTCTCCAGTGTTCAAACACTGCCCTTGTTTATCATGTCTCACAAAGATTACTAATCATGTTTCACAACCTCATTTGCAAATTATTTCAAGATCCTGGGATGTAATTCATCTTGATTGATCTGACCCCTTGAATAAATTTAAAGAGGCTAAATGTTCTCTTAAAATTTTCTTGTGGAGCGGGTGTTTTGCCTAGCGATTAGGCTGCCCGTATCCCAGGGCAGAATGTCTGCGTTCAATTCCAAGCTCCACCCCCAATTCCAGTTTCCTGCAAATCTGGAATTTGGGAGGCAGCAGGTGATTGCTCAAGTGAACAGTTCCCTGCAACCCGCGCGGGAGATCTGTATTGCATTCCTGCTCCCAGCTTCAGCCTGGCAATTGGGACTGAACCAAGAGTGGGAGCTCGCTCTCTCTCTTTCTCTCTCTCTCTCTCTCTGCCTTTCAGAAAAAAAAAATCTCTGTGGATACTGGGCTTCAAGTCTTTTTAAATCAGACATATTTCATGCTTTTGGTTCATCAAACATCCCTTTGGTGAGAAATACAGAAGTAAAAAAAATGAAGCTGTTCTGCCTTTCTCTGACATCTGTTAAAACGTCCACCTTTCCTGGGCAGCATGTTTGCTCTGTGTCCTGGAAAGTGTGCTTTGGTGCTGGTAGCATTTCCCACAAGTTCTATCCTAGTCTGTATTTGGCCAGCTTGGCCCCACTGTGTGCCACACGTTTTCTCTTCATCTTTAGTTTGGCCCTCTGACTGTCATCATTGTTCTTCTTTCGTCATCGCTACTGAGAGAGCAAATGTGATCCAGCCCCCTCTCTTATTTCTTCCATATTCACAGTCATAGTCTCCACATTTCAGTTCAACAAGCTTCCTATGCCTTGTATGTTATGTTCCCTTTCAACACTTCCTGGCCAATCACTGCTCTATGTGTTTTGAAATCGGCTTTTCATATCCTGTGGCTCCCAAACAGCATCCAACATTCTTCTCTTTCCATGACGCTCTCCCCTGTACCTCTGTCACGTCATTGTCATATCACAGGCTTTATGATTAGCTTGACAGCCACACCCTTCATTGAGTCCTCTTACTTTAGAGACACGCAAGAATTTTCCAGCCGCTCTTCTTTTACAAGAGGTAGACGTTCTCAAACCTGAGTCACTGAAGGTCTTTCCCCAGATGAAGGTCTTTCCCCCCGCTCTGTTCAGTTTTGCAGTTTGCTTTGGAGAAGTTCCATCCATACCTTTTATTGCACCTGGTGGCCTGGGTTATCCTAAACCCCTGGAAGTTCAATGTTGGTTCCACTGGTATGGCAGTATCGTGGGTATGAAGGGCCCCAATACAGCTATGGGAGATGCTGAAACGAGGTGTTCAGACACAACCAGGAAACACTAAGGAAGCTGAGCTCAATAAAGAGAAAGTGAAATTCTCTGAATCTGGCCAAAAACTAAGGGGCTAGGGACAGATACCAAAAGCCAAGAAGGCTGAGAATCAGAGAATCCTATGAAAAATGTAGTGAAGTTGGGAAACGAGGGGTGAATCTGGACCATGACCTTCAGCAAGCTTGTGGCCCGTAGAGTGATGCACAAGACCCTCTTAGGCTAATTTATGTCTGTGTCTCCTTAAGCTCCCACTCTTTTTTCCTGTATGGGTCCTAAAAGTGTCCCAAATGTGCACTCATGTGAATATTTTAGGAGTGGGCATTTAACCTAGTGATTAAGATACTGATGAAGACTCCACATCAGATTGCCTGCAATCAAAGGCCAGCTCCAGTTCCTGACTCCAGCTTCCTGTTAATGCAGACCCTGAGAGGTAGCAGTGATGGCTCAAGTAACTGAGTTCCTGCTATGTCGCTCCCCCTCTTCGCGGAGGAATGACACAGGACCCTGCGCTGTTCTTTTGTCTGCTCGGCCCTTCCCGGGTTTGCTGCTGGTTCTTCCTGGGTTGGCTGCCGTCCCCTCCACCTCTGTGGAGGGGCGGCTCCCCCTGCCACTTTCCCCACTTTCGCGGGGGAGCGGCACACCGCCGGTCAGCTCTCTCGGGGGCTGCTCAGATGTTATCCGGATGTTCCTGGTGCATGGTGTCTCTCTCCTCCTTTATAGTCCTCTTCCACCAATCCCAACTCTGCTACCCACACGCCGAGCATGCTGCTCTCCTCCAATCAGGAGCAAGATCAGCTCCTGCAGTATATCAGTCAAGTTGGTGAGAGACAGCTGTGTAGAAGTTGTTTACTCCCTTTCAGCGCCATATTGTGGGAGAGCAGATGCATAGAATAAGTCCTAATTCCAGTAACTTAGTTTAGTCCGAGTTGCTCCCCACACTGCTACCTACATGGGAGACCTGGATTGTGTTCTTGGCCTCAGGTTTCATCCCTGGTCCAGTCCTGGCTGGGAACTATGGCCTCAAACGTGCTTCTCTAATCTTTGTAAAAAGTACTACCTCTGTGTCAGGATCCATTTTTCCAATATCTTGAGATGTTTTAATACCATCTGGCGGCCATCAACACTGTAAAAGACCTGAGATTTTAGCCTGCTCACAAGCTAAAGTGTTAGCTGGCCACAGTTTAATGGATGCTGATAGGAGACACTGGCCACAGTTTGATGGATGCTGATAGGAGACACAAGACTCTGGTCGGAGACAAAGGACTTCATTATTCATAGTGATAGCATAGCTAGAATAGTAGCATCTGAAGCAATACCTCGAGGCCCACATCCCACCAGGCAATGTGAAGAGAGCGAGCTGATGCCTTCCTGTGCAGTGGATCTCACTGCAGGAGAGGAACCTTGAACTTAGGGAACTCAAGTGTTTCCTAATGGGCAGTAAGCCTCCCAGGATGTGATGTCATCTTTCCTGTAATGGACAGTAGGCACATCTGCTCTCCTCGGCATGAAGATACACTATTTTTCTTCTAAGGTTCTTCACTACACAAACATCCATGAAAAGACACTGTCACACAAAAACAGTCGGTGCTCCTGCCCACGAGATGTGTACACTTCCGAAACACAACTTCCTCTTTCCATGGCCCTGCTCTTCAGGGGCTCCCTATTCTGTACCCTTTCCCAGAATGCACCTCAGGAATATATGTCTTCTGATAATGCTGGTTCAATACGGAAAACCTAGGGGGATTTTTAAGAGCTGGTTTTTAGGGGAGAGAGGTGATGGGAGACCTAGCCGTGAATGAGGGAGCCAAGTCAGGGGCAGGGGAGAAGTGGGTTCGGGTTGAAACGTTGTGTGTTTCCTTCCCCCTAGGTAATCTATGCCGCTGTACTGGATACAGACCCATTGTGGAGAGCGGGAGAAGTTTTAGTCCTGTGAGTATGAAACAATGGGTAGCCCCAGGGTCGTGCCCTCCTCCGCCTGCCCCTGCCCTGCCCTCCGCCTGTGTGAGGCTGGCGGTCAGGGAAAGCACAGTATTAGGTGTGAGAGAAAATGGCTTCTCACTTTGCCCATCTTGGTGGGGGTAACTGGATGTTTTTCTCAGAAGTACAGACAGGGAGCTTCTCGAGTGAGTATAAAATAGCGTCTTCTATATAAGCGAAAACGGGTGAGGGCCTCTTCCTCCCGGCCTGCTTTGCGAGAGGGAAGGAGAGGGGCGGGTCTTCTGCTCCGGCGGTCGCTTCAGCCGCACTTGGGACGGCGTCACCGCCTAAGCGAAGCATTTTCGCGAATTAGAGGCCGATGTCCTCGCTGACGGAGATTCCGTCTTCCATGAACACGCGTAGCTAATGGGGGTGACAGGAGCGGCCATGCTCATCCTTCACGCCGCGTGGAGCCGGCAGCCCCCACGCCACCTGCCCATCCACAGAGCCTCCGGTTGCCCCTCTGTCCTGCCCACTCTGGCTGTCACTCAGAGCACTCTGACGGACGTATGGGTTTTGTCCTAGCCCAAGCACTTCTCCAGCTCTGTGGACGCCAGCTGGCTGTCCTACCACTGAATTCCATTCCCACGCTGTTTATCTGGCGTTAGCATCAAGCCCGGTAGGGCAAGCGTTCGGGCCCAGCGGAGGCCCTCCGCAGATGGCAATCACGAGGCTGCGCCTCTGGTGTTCCCCACCGACCAGCTCCAAACGCAAAGCTCCCACAACCCTCTCCTTGAGTGTGATAATTGGCTCGAATGGCTCACAGCACTCAAGGGAAAGCTCCACTCTTGTTTGCTGCTTTGTGATGAAGGATCCAGGTGAAGAGGTACACAGACAAGGTTCGCATGGGGCCCCAGCCCGGGAGCTGTCTCCATGGAGTAGAGGGGCACACCCCACCCCATCTCCCCCAACACACCAACCAGAGGCCCTCAGCCCTCCCTGCTCAAAAGTTCACAGGCTGGATCCCAGCCCTCCCTCTCTCCCCAGAGGAAAATGGATGAGGCTGGAAGTTTCCACCCTGTACCCCCCCGTCTTGTCCCAAACTGAGGCTGTCTGCAGGTCCCCTCCTAGTCACCTCATAGCTAGCGTCAACTCAGGTGTGATTCTATAGGGTTCATGATGAATTAAAAAGCACTCCTACCAGTTGGAAAATTCCAAAGGTTTTAGGAGTTCTTTGGCAGCAACTAGGGACAATGACTAAAAAAATTTTATTGTGTCATTCCCCTCTCCTAAAAAAAAAAAAAACCCTCTATAGAAACTAGCTAATGAAGACTATGTGGAATCATCAATTTTTTAAAAGTACAAGCTTCTTCTTGCAAAAATATACCCTATATGGTGGAGAAATTGTGTATCCAGAGATATTTGGATTCCAAGTGACAAAGTTAAGATGGTGACAAAAGAGACCATGTAAGAAAATATGTCTAAAAGAAAGGTAGAATGGAGAGGAGAGAGTTATACAAACAAAGCAGACATGAATAATCCATATAAAACATTTGTTATTGTACCTCACAGCTCTAAATATTGCTATCCACCGGAGCTGGAGAAGTAAGACAAATTGCAATAAAATCTATTTGCTTGTTCATTCATTATTTGAAATTATGGGCTACAGAACCTAGGCATCCTTCGTCATCAGCTATTTTTCACATCCCATTTCCTCATGGATTTAAAGACTGGTTGAATCAATTTAATTGCTTAAATCAAGTGGGAAGATAAGCAGAGAATAAGCCTGGACCAGATTCCCAGGCTCAAATAGGTGGAGGGGTCAAAGATTGAGCATTGGGAGGACTCTCCAGTGGGGCCCATCCCCTGGGTCTGGAGTGGCTTAGGAGGCTCCAGGAGCCCCGGGCCTTTCAGTCCTCCTGGGGAACACCTGCTCCCCACTCCACTCTTTGCAGAGGTTGTTTTGGAAACCAAATGCATTAATATTTAGCAGAATGAACAGGATGAGAACAATGCCTGAACTGTGGCAGGCAATCAAACAACTGGAGCTATTAATCATTAGAGGGACTGCGAAGCTGTGTTTCACAAGCCGGAACTCGGTTATCAAAAGGCGTGCATGGTGGGTGTTATCCTAGTGGTTAAGACATTCACATCCCACATCAGAGTGCCTGCTGGAGTCCTAGCTTGGCCTCCTGACTCCAGATTCCTGCTCATGCAGTCAGCAGTGGTGCCTCAGGTTGTTAGGTTCCTGTCCTGGGTGCCAGTTCGAGTCCCAGCTGCTCCACTTCCAATCCAGCTCCCTACAAATGCACCTGGGAAAGCAGTGGAGGACAGCCCAAGTCCTTGAACTTCTGTACCCATATGGGAGACCGAGTAGAGGCTCATGGCTCCTGGCCTCAGATCACCTCAGCTCCAGCTGTTGTGGCCATTTAGGGAGTGAACCAGTGGACAGAAGACCTCTCTCTCTGTCTCTACCTCTCTCTGTAACTCTGTCTTTCAAATAAATAAAATAAGTCTTTTAAAAAAATTATGGTTACCAGAGGCTGGAGAGGGAGGGATTGGGAAAGATTGATTGACAGGTACTAGGTTATAGTTAGCTAGGAGTTATAAATTCTAGGGCTCTATTGCACAGTAGGATAAAGATGGATAATGTTAAATCTACTATATATTTCTTACAAAAAATCTAGAAGATAAGATTTTTGAATGTTTTATCTATAAAGAAATGATAAATACTTAAAGTATATTTATCCTGATTGGAAATGACACAATGTGTACATATTACAAAATATCACATAGCCTCCCCATTATGGGTGCAATTTTATATGTCTGTTACAATGTGGTAAGTACAAAATTAAAAACATATATAATTTGATAAACTGTGTAACTTTTCTAAGATTCTGTCTTCTTATCTTTAAATGGGATTATGATTACAATGTTTAAATTACTCCACACTGAGCATATACTGAGTGTTCAGCAGAACCTATACTATAGCTTGTAACTATTCACCATGTCTTAGTCTGCTTTGTGCTGCTGTAACAGAATATCACCGACTAGTCAACTTAAAATGAATAGAAATGTATTGGCTCACAGTTCTGGAGGTTAGGACATTCGTGATCAAGGTCTGCACCTGGTGGGGGCCTTGTTGCCGTGTCATAACAAGGCAGGAGGAGTCACACTGGCAGAAGGGAAACAGAGTGTGCGAGAGACAAAAGGGGACTGAACTAGGTCTTTATGAAGAACCTACTCCCAGCAAAACAAACTCACTGCTTTCATAATGGCATCATTCAATTCATGAGGCTGGAGCCCTTATAACCAAAACACCTCTTAAAGGTCCCATCTTACAGTGCCATCACAATGGCAATTAAGTTTCAATGTCAGTTTTGGAGGGAACAAACATTCAAACCATAGCAAGCCACTACCACCACCACCATCATCTCCATTGTCACCGTCACCATCACCACCATCACCATCACCACCATTACCATCATCACCATCACCACCACCATCACCACCACCACCATCACCACCACTACCACCACCATCACCATCACCATCACCACCACCACCATCACCACCATTACCATCATCACTCTGGATTCTCTAATGTTGCCATTCTTGTTTTCTTCTATAGAGTTCCTCTTGCTGCCAAATGAATGGGGGAAAGAAATGTTGCTTGGATCAAGAAGAAAGCAAGGCTGAGAGCAAAGCTAATGTAAGAGTTTTTCTCTGTATGTCCCTCTCCTCTTTTTCCTGCGGCTTTTCTTATCCCACTGATGTAGTGTGAGAAGCCTGACTAACAGGGTTTGGTGCTGGTAGTGGGGCTTGGGAAAGTTCTAAAAACTGTTGTTTTTCTCTCAGTCCTTCTATCCATTTCCTCCCACTAATCCTCAAATGCTACACACCCATGTCTACCTGGTAGTAAAGGGATCCCCTTGGTACTGTACCTGCTGGAAGTGGTCATTATCCAAAGATGAGACCAGCTTGGTGACTCCAGCTTTGGCAAGAGTGAATCTGTTCATTAAATGCCAATTTTTCTAATAATTGATGTTCAGTATTAACCTTACTGCCCATCTTTGCAACAGATGGCTCATAAAGACAATAGAAATTAGATAGTATCTGGAAAATTAAAATTTTCTACATATACATTATTTGATCCAGCAAGTCCACTGCCAGGAATCTATCTGAGAGAAATAATTAAAGGGAGGTCAAAGATTTGATGATATACAGAAGTATTTATTACAATATTATTTATAGTAACAAAAAATTAGAAATAATTAAATTTTAACAATGTTGGATTATTTAAATACATCAAAGCATAGCCATACATAAGGACTTATGCTATCTTAGAAAATCCTTTGTGTGTCATGTTTAAAATTTTGAAAATAAAAATTATTTCTTTGAAGTTAAAAAGGAGTATTTAATATTTGAGCACTCTAACACCAAATTTGTAGGGGAACATTGTCACTATACACAGAATAAGCTCATATATACAGAGTGAGACGAGGGCAGAAGTTAGTACATATCTGTGCACAGTTGTATTATGAAGGAATTTTACTTTCTTCTGTATTCTTTTTCAGCAATTCTACAAAGTATTTTTACATAAACATGTGTTAGTCTTTTAATCACATGCAAAAACGTGTTTCAACAAAAAGCAGTTTCCATGGGTGGAAACGCTATTCCCTCTAAAAGCCACATTTGCTGAATTCTTGGGAAAGACTGGGACTGGATAGGGGATACTGTAAGGATCGCTGTGAGCTGCTTCCCTAGGGGCCACCAAGCATCATGGTCTAGAGAGACAGAGAAGGCCAGGCTTGGCCCGAACATTTACAGGCCCAAAGATTGCTTTCTATTCCCACCCCAGTCCTGTCCTACATCACAGATTGGACACCCAGCTCCTATGTCCAAACCTCATCTATTCCTCCAACAGCTGCCCTCAGCCACAGCTCGGGTCTGGGCATCAGGTCTCTCTGGGAGGATGGACTGGAGCAGGGGCCCGCGTGGGCCCTGGAAGCGGTTTGGGGACTCTTGGACAGGGAATTCCAAGGTCGTGGGGACCCACAGCCTCTGTCTGGAAGACGAGGTGTAGGCTGAGTGGAAAGTCCCTTGTCCCTGAGGGTTTCTTTGTCCCTTGGGGAGTGGCATGGTGATAAGGGGGACAGAGCAGGAACCCAGTTACCTTGAGCCTCAGGGCAATCCCAGGAATGGGCTCCTTGAGCTGCACCTGATGCTCTGACATCAAAAGAAGTACAAATAAGAGTGAACTCCAGGAGGGCAGGCCTCTGACATAAAACGGATCATTCCACAAAACCTAACAAAGGGCTTGGTCTACACATCACTCATTCTTCTGCTGTTACCTTCCCTACTTCACCTACCCCCCAAGCATCAACTGATCACCCCTACTTCCTGTTAGCACTTCTCATGGGTGAACCCTCCTGGCACTGGAGCAGCCACCAGTTGGAGTAGATCTGCTGAAAAGCCATTTCTCCCTTTGAGCTGGGACCGCTGCCGGTAGCACAGCTACACCCTGCTGCTTCTGCACTCATCCCCCAGCTCCTTTCCAGCTAAGCCCTTCGTCTCATTCACTCCTGAGAGTCCAGGTGACGGCGCCATAAATGATCTTCAAAGCCATAGCTCTTCTTTTCTCTGGCCCTTCCCTCACAAACCCCAGCACAACTCCCTCCTTCCTCTCCATAGCACCCTCTCGTGACGTCCATGGTTATGCTGACATCATCATCATCTTTTATGTTTTCCCCCCAAGAGCTGAACCCTCACGGTTCTCACAGAGACAGGTTCTGGAGCAGCTGAGCCTTCTCCTCTGCACTCCCCTCCCCTGCCCCAGACTTCTTCCTTCAGGCTGAGATTATTGCAAGATTCCCCTCCTGGGCGCCTACCTGCCAACACCACCCATCTGACCCAACTCATGGCAGAGCTCTCAGCATCGCCGAGGAAGCTTTTCTGCAATGCAGTCTTCCTGGATCGGCCAGACCTCGCTGTGGTGTGGTCCAAGAACAACTCTGAGCTTCTCCTCACCTGCCTGGGGGACAGGTGCAGCAGTCTGCAGGCCTGGGCTGGGAACCACAGAACACTGTCTAATTCATCTTCTTAGAAATGCCAAGTGACTCCCATTGGCCCCAAAATATGACCTCAAGTCTGAAGCCTGCTTTGAAGACTTTGCATTGTCCCAGCCAACCTGCTTCTCACCCTGTCTCCTGCCAGCTTCTTCCCTTGGAGTCAGGAGGGTGTGCTGGACTTGGTTCTGCACTCCACAGATGGCCTTCTCTCTGCGTCGGGGCTGGCTCCATCCCCTGTTCCCCCACCTCCTCCAGGAAGCCCCTCGCCCACATCACTCCCTGACTTCCTGGGGAGTTGTCCTGGTACCACTCTTTGACAACTTGGTGTCTGCTACCCATCTTTGCAGTTCATCTCCACTGCCACGCCCAGGGCCAGGCACAAAGCAGCCGCCTAATAACGGCCAGTTTGGTTCTGCTCGCCCATGCCCAGCCATCTCCAGCCAGGGTGAAGCTGAAGGTCCCATCCATCTATCCCTGTCCAGGCCTTTCCGACTGGAGAAACTTGACTGCTAGTGATGGCGATGCTCTTCAACCTTTGACTTTGTTTTTGTTGAAAAGACTAAACCATGAGTTTCTTCTCCTAAGGTTTGCACCAAGCTGTATGACAAGGAAGAATTCCAGCCCTTGGACCCAACACAGGAGCTTATATTTCCACCTGAACTAATGGTATGTTCTGTTTGGTCTCTTCCTCTGGGTTGAGTTCTCTTTGGATTCTGGCTGTGAGGAAAGGAGCAGTCCCATCAGCCCAATACTGTTAGCCCTGCGGTGTCTTTGTACTATTGTCACCCTCCTCAACCTGTGAGAGGCTTTTTTTTCTCCAGATTTTGCCCCTGGGCAGATCCACTCTGTCCCTAATCGCTCATCTAATGGAAGCTTTCTCCCTTGGAGTCCAGAACAAGACATCACAGGATCTGTTCTGTGATGTCTATTCTATTCTTTATTCAGATTCTGATTCAAGGCAAATTCAGGATACACACTGTGTGCATGCAGGTGAGGGCAGTTCCAAGCTTCCTATCTGAGATCATCTAACAGGGCTCAGAGCATTTAACTGCTTCCTTTCCTTTATCTCTTTAAATTACTCCTTTAGGCGTGGATTTCACAAACTTCTACTTGGGAGCAGGGCACTTGGGATACTGAAACAAACAATCTGTGCATCCCTAAGGAGCTCCCAGGCAAATGGAGGAGCTAGACTGGGTGTCAATAACAGGGGACAACAGAGCCTGCAGACTCATGACTCAGCTTCTAAGCATTGAGCAGAGAGCCAGAGGTGGGGTAGGGTGGGCTTTCCAAGAGGCTCCTCCAGCGAGCCAAGCTGGAGCTAAAACTTGGATTCTCCGTAGATAATATTGGGAAGTGGGAAAGGGGAAGAAATGGAATATGGAGAACTGCTGGGCAAAGGGGCAATCACGTGCACTGGCCTGTGCCAGGGTGAGACTATCAAGAAAAGACAAGCAATGGAGATGACAAGGGTGTGGTGCACCGGAGGCTTCCTCCTATTTCCCTCTTCATCCCCTTGAGTGAGGCGGAGGCAGGCAGAGGCCAGATCCGGATGAAAGGACTTTGACTGGGAGAGGGTCTACAGTTCTGAAGGCTCCCTCTGACTCCTGTGTGCAGAAGATTGGGAGGAGCCACAGAGGAGTGCAGGGGGGCAGGGAGTTATCCTGTGGCCCAGGAAAGAGCCAATGGCATCAAAGATCATGGTGTGGGTAGTGGAGATGGAGAGAAGGTGCGATGGGAGAGATATGTAAGAGAGATAATCAGTTGGATTTTGAGGTAGATTGGATTTAAGTTGAAAAAGGAAGGGGTTGGCATCGTGGCATAGTGGGGTAAGCCACCCCCTGCGATGCTGGCATCCCATACAGGCACTGGTTCATATCCCAGCTGCTCCACTTCCAATCCAGCTCCCTGCTAACACGCCTGGCAAAACAGTAGAAGATATCCTGGGTTTGGACCCCTGTACCTGCATGGGAAAGCCAGATGGAGTTCTAAGTTCTGGCTTTGGCCTGGCCCAGTCCTGGCCATTGTGGCCAGCTGGGGAGTGAACCAGCAGATGGAAGATCTCTGTATCTCTCCCTCTCTCTAACTCTGTCTTCCAAATCCGTGTCAAGAGTGACCTCTAGGCATGTAGGAGCAGAGAACATCCAGCCCCAAATGAGGCCGGTGAAATCATTTAGTCTGACCCTGCAGAGGCAACCCAGACAGAACTCAAAATTCAATAAATCCATAGCAGGCTAATTTTTAAGTTGATAATTGTATATGGTCTGTGAATGATGTTACAAATATCCAAATGACCCATGGCAGCAAAAATGTTCCCCACCCCTGGTAGAGTTTGCACATTGAGTTACTGAGTTAGGGATATGGAGTCAAGCCACTTTACAGGGCGCAGATCAAGAATTCAGATTTTCACATCCTAGCCTGAGATCCTTTTAACAAACCCAAAGAGAAGTGTCAAGTGGGTAGTTGAAAGCTCAGAGACGTGGTTAGGGCTGATTGTATAAACTGTCAAGTAACCGGGATCAAAACCGTGGACACAGTTGAAAGCTTAGCTGAGAAGACGACTTGGATCTAAGTCCAAGGGAATTCCAGTGGCTAACGAATTAGGTAGAAGAACAAGTAGACCCGAGAGATGGGGTGGCAGAGGTCAGCAAGCGGGCATAACCATCAGGATCCGGAGGCATCCAGAAGTGAGGGAGGAGAGCGTTTTCAGGGTGGTCAGACACAGGGAATGTGCTGAGAGACCAGGTAGGCTGAGAGGGAAAGGGCACTGCGGCCGCGGGGACTCACCTTTGCAAAAGCAGGGAGGACTGTATTGAGGAGAAAGTAGGAAGGCAAGAAACAGAGAGGATGGCTTACCAGAGTGCTTCGCAGAACCGGCAGAGGGAGAGAAAATGTACAAGGCAATAGCTCGGGGGAGTCTGGGGATGAGCAGCTTTGCGTTTTGCCTTCTCCATTAGTGGCTGAGTCTTGCAAGTATTTAAATACCGATGGGAAGAATAGAAGTTAAAAGAGATACTGAATCATTAAGAGGTGGAAGGAGAGGTCTGGATGGCCAGACCCCTTTCTCTATTTCTTTCAGAAACCTTTCACTAAAACAGTCCTTCCAAGTCTGAGGGAAAGCCCCTGGGCACCCCGCACAGCTCTGTCCACCTCGGACAGGGCGACTCCAGTCACTATCAATTCACGATTGCTGCTTTCTTTTTTTTTATTTTTTGTTTATTTATTTATTTTATGACAGGCAGAGTGGACAGTGAGAGAGAGAGACAGAGAGAAAGGTCTTCCTTTATCCGTTGGTTCACGCTGCAATGGCCGCTGCGGCCGGTGCACCGCGCTGATCTGAAGCCAGGAGCCAGGTGCTTCTCCTGGTCTCCCATGCGGGTGCAGGGCCCAAGCACTTGGGCCAACCTCCACTGCACTCCCTGGCCACAGCAGAGAGCTGGACAGGAAGAGTAGTAACCGGGACAGAATCCAGCGCCCCAACCGGGACTAGAACCCCGTGTGCCGGAGCCGCAGGCAGAGGATTAGCCTAGTGAGGCGCACCGGCCACGATCACCACTTTCTCCCCAGGCCGTGGGCTCGAGTGGCCCTGGGGGAGAAGGGTTGACTGCTGTTTCCCCATTCCCCAACACCATGATTCTCACTTTCTTGGTTTCAGAGCCACTTACCCTTAAAGCTTATGAACATGTGTGGTCTGAAAGTAAAGCTAGAAAATGTCTTACACATTCGCTCACTCACAAGTCACAAGAGAAAGCCCGTTGAGCAATAGCACAAATAGCATCTTGTTCATGGGGAATTATTATATTTTTCCACCGGAAAAATCAGTGAGAAGAGTGACCATTTTTGTAAATCTCTCTCATAGTGGTTTAAATAAAAAGGCAGCTGGATTCACGTATCTGCTTCTACATTCAGTTGGTGGTAATTGCACACATCATGTAGACTTTGTAAAACCCCACCGCGTGCTCGGGAGAAATGAGAAGGAAGAAAATTCCTATCTTTCGTTATAAAGTTGTTTTGACCTGGGGACCCCTGAGAGGACTTCCAGGGCCCCCAAGAATGCCTGGACTACACTTTGAGAAGTGGGCCTGATGAGAGGAACACACCAATTATTTCATTTATCAGGATTTGAATTCATTCCTGGGGACTCCCACCTTGCTGTCTGGCTTTCCAACAAAACACATAACTTAAAGCAATGTTGGCAAAATCCTTATGATAAAGAATTCTCATTTAGCCAACCTGTCTTTAAGTTTTGTTCCATTTCCAACAGCTTCCACTGTGATTTTTGTTCGATGTGGAATTATTCAGCATGAAATCATCTACAGAGACAATGGAAATTTCACTGAAAGCTTTGGCCTTTTGATGGTTCCTACTCAGAAAACAATACTTGTGCATAAAATGTTCTTGCCGGGGCATCATCAAAGTTAATTACCAGCAAATTAAACAATTCAATTCCATCTTGAGAAACGGTTCCCTGGCTTATTATTAACCAACAGAAGTGGTTTCAACTAGGCCTCCTTCAGATGCATGGAGTGATTTCAGTTCCACAGGGCCCAGGACAGGGAGCCCTTGGGTTCATGGCCTGTGTATGTTAATCACCTGTATCACCTTGACCAGGTCACTTCCCCTCTCAGGCCTCACTGCTTTGTTTTCTGTAAAACAAGATCGGTGGTTCTCAGTACAGAAGCAATTAGTATTCAAGGGCTTTTCCTTGAATGCCATGTTTTTTGTTGAACATCATTGAATTGCAGTAAATTTAATTAGATTTCATGGAATAAAGGCAATTTTAGATCTAGAAATTATGACTGGATTAGGTGATATCTGAACCAAATCAAAACAGGGAGCAAAAGCATCCATTAAAAAAGAAAAGAGAAAATTAAGACTTCCTGAGCCAGCATGGGCAATGTGCAAATTGCCCTTGTAAGTATTTATCTCATATTTGTCTTTCCCACCTTATTTTTTTTTTAAGATTTATTTATTTATTTGAAAGTCATCATTACACAGAGAGAGGAGAGGCAGAGAGAAGAGAGGGAGAGAGAGAGAGAGAGAGGTCTTCCATCCGATGGTTCACTTCCCAGTTGGCTGCAACGGCAGGAGTTGCACCGATTCGAAGCCAGGAGCCAAGAGCTTCTTCCGGGTCTCCTACGTGGGTGCAGGGGCCCAAGGACTTGGGCCATCTTCCACTGCTTTCCCAGGCCATAGCAGAGAGCTGGATCGGAAGAGGAGCAACTGGGACTAGAACCGGTGACCAAATGGGATGCCAGCGCTTCAGGCCAGGGCGTTAACCCACTGGGCCACGGTGCCAGCCCCATTTCCCACCTTATTTTAAAATTGTTTTATTTTTGACTGACACAGAAAAATTACTCATTTTATGGGATACCATGTGCTGTTTTGATTCAAGTACACTAGCGTAATGTCCACTCAGGGTAGAGAGATCTATCTCCTCAAACACAATCCACCTTGTCACCTGCCACAGCCATTATTTTAGAGAAAAAATGTAGTCATTCAAGTAACCACTATTCTACTTTTAGATCAGAGAAAAGACCAACTTTAATCTAGTGCTTGAAAACCTGCAATGTTGCTTGGGAAGCAGTAAATGGTTTGTGAGAGGAAGGGCCCCACTGGCTCTAATAAACCCAGCATTCTTTGTTTCCACTGCTCAACAAAACAGCCAGCCTTACTCCATACTTCAGTGAGATCTGAGAACCGAAAGGCTTCTCATATCATCTACTCAAATCCCTAATTTTCAGATATAGCAACCTAGCCTGGAGAGGTTCCAGGGCTTCCCTAAGTCCTCCAGATTACTTGGTGGATAGGCTGGGATTAGAACCTGGCTCCTCTACCTCCAGATGTGGTCAGTGAATTTCCATTCGACAAGCTTGCCTGATAATAAATGGCACACAACCCTCTGTGCAATACAGCTCCCCGTTGGTGTTTTCTTACTATTTGTAACTTAGTCATGATTTCTTCATTTGGAAGTCTGATGTTGTAAATCTCCGTGGGACACAGGATTCTTGTTTGTTTATAAGACTTCATTAAAATCCACTTAGTTCTTTTCAAGCTATAAGAGATGGAAAACAAATCACACAAAAGAGTGGATTTAATTATAGACAGATGGGAGCGTTGTCCTGCCAGTACCAGCCTTTGTGATCCCTGGTGGGATCCATTGTTCTGTGTGTGAGTTGCAATGAAGTCTGTGTATTTTGTCATTGACATCAGCATTAAGTCTGCATTATCTCCTGCAGAGAATGGCAGAAGATCCCCAAAAGAAAGTTCTGACTTTCCACGGGGAGAAGACTACCTGGATTTCCCCAGGAACCCTGGCAGGCCTCCTGGAGCTGAAGATGGAGCACCCCGATGCACCTCTGGTGATGGGGAACACTTCTCTAGGTAGGTAGTGGAGGACCCGGTTCCCTCTTCTCTGTTGAAAATCCCAATTAGTGAAAGTTCTGGAGTCTGCTCAGAAATCCAAACACATACCTGATGATTCAGACTCAACCCCTTGCCTGGTTGATGGCCAGCTTGTGACAAGATTAATATCTCTGGTTCCTGAAGAACAGTTTGTCCAGCAGAAGGCGATTAGATTTCTCTGAGGTTACATTTTCCATGCTTTCAGGCATCAGTGACTAGTAAAGCAGCTGTTTCTGTCATAGGGTTCTAGGATGAAGGAATCCACAGATGTTTCACTGCTTGGGTCAGACTCAGTTCAGATGTAGGGGGACTTTGTTTATTAGGCCTATCACAAACACTTCTAAGTCTTAGCATTACTTGCTAAATGAGATCTCAATTGCTTCTCTCCCGCTAACGAGAATTCTTCTATCTTTTAGGGCCTGATATGAAGTTCAAAGGAGTTTCCCCTCCCATTATTATCTCTCCTGCAAGGATTTTGGAATTATTTATTGTGACTAACACAGAAGAAGGTGTGTTCTCATTTACCGTAACACGGTGCTTGTGTTGCAGATGGTTCTGTTAAAGAAAGCTCGGGCTGTTTGACACTAGCCAGATCACAGGTCATGGGGCTGCGGGAAGACCTCTTTGGCTCTTGTAATGTTGAACCACATCAGCCCTTGGAAAAGACCATGTCCTAGGTTCAGTAAGTCCTGGAGAAGACTGTCCCTCTTGTCCCAAGACTCAAGTCTCTGTGCAGAGCAGGACTTGCCCGATGTTGCTAATTTACCCAGAACCCTTCCAGCTGTCTCTAGCCACCTCAGCTAGTCAAGGAGCACTCAGCCTGTTTCTTCCCCAGCAGCAGAGGAAAACAGCTAGCACCTTCTCTGCTAAATAGCTCAGGTTTCACCAGGAAGTCTTTTAGTCTCCCTTCTGCGACTCAGCCAAGCCACTGGCGGTGATTGTCCCAAAGCTGCCAAAGACAGGCAGGAATTTTTTTCTTGACAAATTAACAGTCAGTTCTTTAGATCCACATTATTTAGAGAAAAATACCAGTGGGGTAAAACCATTTTATTCAACTTAATATTTTAGTTATTATTTTTTGAGATAATTTATTTTAGTTCGCATTATAGTCAAAGGCTTAACACTCCAGTGAGCCAAGAGTTCAACAAATACAAAGTAGAAAGGCCATCATTCAGCAGGGAAGGAGGGAAAGAGGCAAGGACTATAAACCCTAATCAAGGCCGGCGCGTTGGCTCACTAGGCTAATCCTCCGCCTGTGGCGCCGTCACCCCAGGTTCTAGTCCCAGAGTGCTGGATTCTGTCCCGGTTGCCCCTCTGCCAGTCCAGCTCTCTGCTGTGGCCCGGGAGTGCAGTGGAGGATGGCCCAAGTGCTTGGGCCCTGCACCCCATGGGAGACCAGGAGAAGCACCTGGCTCCTGGTTTCGGATTGGTGCAGTGCACCAGCCATGGAGGCCATTTGAGGGGTGAACCAACGGAAGGAAGACCTTTCTCTTTGTCTCTCTCTCTCTCACTGTCTAACTCTGCCTGTCAAAAACAAAAACAAACAAACAAAAACAAAACAAAACCCTAATCAAATGAAAAGATGCTCAACTGCACTCACATAAAGTCAGTTTTAAAATAGTCACAAAATCATGAAAACTATAGAATACCAGTATAAAATGCCTATCAGTTTGCTTGACAAAGATTTAAAACAAAGTGTGACCATTTTTTAAACACTCATTTGTTTATGAACTTTATAATCCGAGGTTTTTACCATGTGCCAGGCAATGGGCTGTCTGCTGGTAAACTGAGGCTCCGAGAGAAGATTCTTCGTGGAGAGCTGGTAGTCCTGTGGATGTTGATATCTTACAGGCCTACATTCTTTCAGCCTCCTCCACCCTCTCAGGGATGCTTCCAAAATTGGGCTAATTGGGGATTAGCTCTGTTAAAGTGATTTTTAAATTTTAATTACAGAGAGTCTGGGATTCTGAAGGAAGGAAAAGCCAAAAATAAATACCCATCGAAAACACTGCATATTTTGATTTTAAAGCCAGATATAAATGTGCAAGCACTAAGTAAAAGATCTTGTGTTTTTATGCTCTTCTTAACACTTTTTCATGTATTTTCTATTAACAAATCTGTTTGACTTTGATAACTAGAAAAATGCAGATTTTTTTTAAAAAAACTTTTTGTTCTATCTTGTAGAAATATACTAGTACAAAGAGAGTGTGGGCGATGCTAGGGAAATTTCTACCTAAAACACCATTTCTGTCACCTTGTAGTCCTCTGGACAACTGGAAAATTGTGGTTTACACACACACACCTGTTAGTGTTGCTGGCTCCACCTGTGGTTTCATTACTGCTGAGTCAACCTCATGGTTCTGGCTCTTTATCTGAGAAGTTAACTCGTTCTCCTAATCTTTATTTGTTTTGCCTTTGAACCTGAGTCCTGTTGTAGTAAACTTCCTTTGAAGTCTAAATAAATATCTGTGTTTTCATCTCAAAGGGCAGGGAACTTTGTTTTCAAGTGCTCAAAGTCAAATCATAGCCATGTTCAAACAGGTCAAATAAGTTTATGTTCTGAGTTCACAGTGTAATAATGAGAAGCTATAGAACAATGGGCAGGTGGACAGCTGTCTTTCTTTTTTTTTTTTTTTTTTTTTTTTTTTTTTTTTTTTTTTGACAGGCAGAGTGGACAGTGAGAGAGAGAGACAGAGAGAAAGGTCTTCCTTTGCCATTGGTTCACCCTCCAATGGCTGTCATGGCTGGCGCGCTGCGATCGGCGCACCACGCTGATCCGAAGGCAGGAGCCAGGTGCTTCTCCTGGTCTCCCATGCGGATGCAGGGGCCAAGGACGTGGGCCATCCTCCACCGCACTCCCTGGCCACAGCAGAGAGACAGCTGTCTTCTTTCTAGATAAATCCTTAGACTCCTGAGCTGGGACACTTGTTCTAAATTAGCATATGTGGTAAGCAAAACAGAACCTTACTGAAGGAAATTCTGCCACGAAATGAATTTATCAGTCACATTTATGCAAATGAAATTCAAACCATGCTTAATGAAATGGTCTCAGCTCCAAGAACTACTGCAAGCAAACCTTATTTAAAATGAGTCACAAAGCTCACTGCAGATTCTTTTTCCAAAAGCTGTTTCTGTCCAACTTCCCAAAATTAAAGCATGAGCTCCCCCTGCTGAGTGAATTAATGTGTTGATAAAACAGAATCTAAAACACTTGTGCCTTGCCTGTTACACCATTATGTTCTTAGAAACATAAGCGATGATAATTTTTTTTCTTAAGCTCATGATTATGGAACAGAGTGGGATAGAAAGGTAAAGAAAATTCTTCTACAAAGTAGAGATTCGTTGCTTGAGATTTTTCAGTTTCTAGCAAGATTTCCTAAACACAGCTCCTGGCATGGCAGAACTTTGAAATCAACATGATGAAAACCAGGAGGAGGTTACAAGCCTCATGCCCACTCCTACCCTATTACCTGCCTCTGTTTCCTCCCAAGCTCTGATGTTTGACATTACGTTTTCTTATTTATTCATTTTTCTGGTAGTGGATGTCTCCTCCCACTAGAATGGTGGCTTCCTAACAGAAGAGACCTCATCTGGGCTCTCAGCTCCCAGAACAGGGCCTGGCACCCGTAGGTTCTCAGGAACTTTTGTTTCCGTGGAGGGAGGTTGGGGGGGGGGGCAGGCAGGAGGCTGGCATTTATTGTAGCTTCACCTGGGAGTACGGCTCAATTGCAGAATGATTCTGTGCCCGTCACGTGGAACTGTGAAGGAATTAGGTAGGAAATGATAGAAATGCAGTAACTAAGGAGGGCACAGGGAAGCCCTGTGGCTCGGACCGGAGCTCAGCTTTAAGCCTGTGGAGGATGTGGTGAAGGTAGACCAGAAAACAAGCACGGTGCTAGGCACAGGGGACACAACGGCTTAATGAAGAGGGTGTGGACCTGGCCCTCGTGGTGTTTACAACAGCTGGTGAAGACAGGCGCCACGCAGATCATCACTCAAATGAAAGACCCAATTGCAGCTGTGACAGGTGCTATGCAGCAGAGGAACGTGGTGTCAGAGGAGCAGGAACAGGACAACCCAGCCTTACTGGGGAGTGAGGAAAGACTTTTCCTGCTAGGATCAAAGTCACATGGGAGCCAGAGGGCAGGAAAAGCCCATAGCAAGTGCCGGAGACCAAAGACGGCGCCCGTTGCTTGCACACAGTGTAGGGGGGAAGGTGGGCGCTGGGCTGTACTGTGCCAAGGAAGGGCGCGTGGGCGTTATCCTCGGAAAAAGAGCAACCAAACCCTGGGATGGTTCTGATTGCCTTTCCGACTTGATTACTGCGTTTCAGCATGTAAAAGGTGGTCTGCAAGGAGTTTCTGTTCATTTAATAACCATGACAAAGGAGCATTTATGAACGGGAAAGGTGGCGTTGTGGCACTGTGTCCACACTCTGGCCTTCTTCCCAGAGCAATAACCAAAGCATCCCCCTTTCAGGGCTGACCCTGGGTGCTGGCCTCAGGCTGGCCCAGGTGAGGGACGTCCTGGCTGATGCGGTCTCTGAGCTCCCGGAGGAGAAGACGCAGACGTATCGCGCTCTCTTGAAGCACATGAGGACCCTGGCGGGACAGCAGATCAGGAACATGGCAGTACGTCCTCTGCAGGCACCATCGGCGGGGCTGGGGGAAGCAGCAGACATCAGGGAGGAGGGAGTGGGTCCCACACTATTGCTCTTGTTTTCTGTTATCTGTCTCTCTGCTTTTCATGTGGCTGAATCATGGACTCTCTTCAGACCCTGGCAGCATAGGGGGCAGAAGGGGTGGCTGCCCGCCTGGTCTATTCGTCTATGGCCTGGATCTTGCTGTAATTGTCTGTTGAAGATCTATCCAGTCCAGAAAGATCTATGCTTAACTCCCAAAGGGGCTCCTTAACTTGTTACCTTATAAAGACAACTAACAGACTCACAGAATAGCTAGGGCTGGTGTTCTGGCAGAGCAGATAAAGCTGCCGCCTATGATACCACCATCCCATATGGGCGCCGGTTCAAGTCCTGGCTGCTCCACTTTCAATCCAGCTCCCTGCTATGGTCTGGGAAAACAGTAGAAGATGGCTCAAGTACTTGGGCCCCTGCACCCGCACGGGAGACCCGAAAGAACCTCCTGGCTTCGACCTGCCCAGCCTCAGCTGTTGTGGCTATTTGGGGAGTGGACCACCAGATGACAGAGCTCTCTCCATCTCCAACTCTGCCTTTCAAATGAATAAATACATAAAAAAATCTTTTTTTTGGACAGGCAGAGTGGACAGTGAGAGAGAGAGAGACAGAGAGAAAGGTCTTCCTTTTTGCCGTTGGTTCACCCTCCAATGGCCGCCGCAGCCGGCACACCACGCTGATCCGAAGGCAGGAGCCAGGTGCTTCTCCTGGTCTCCCATGGGGTGCAGTGCCCAAATACTTGGGCCATCCTCCGCTGCCCTCCCGGGCCACAGCAGAGAACTGGACAGGAAGAGGGGCAACCGGGACAGAAACCGGCGCCCCGACCGGGACTAGAACCCAGGGTGCTGGCGCCGCAAGGCGGAGGATTAGCCTATTGAGCCGCAGCACCGGCCAATAAATCTTTAAAAAAAGAGAAATTAACTGACTTGATAACAAATATAAATGAGAATCACACATTTTACTTAACCTTTTAGTGTAATTCTGTGTTGTAACTCTAAAAGATATTTTATAGAGAGCTATAAAATACCCACTGTAAATGTCATATACAAACCGGTAACAAGAACAGCAGGGTTATCCTTGCTAACCATCAGTCCCTTGGAATGAAATAATTGTTGGCTTTTCTGTGGTCCAGTCCATCTCCTCTTCTCTTTTGGCTAGGGCTCTGTGTCTCTTCTGGCTTCTTCTAGGTCCCCTGAAGCCCCAATACTAAGCTGCCTGAATTAGAGGATCCGGTCAGTCCTCCCATCTGCAATTCGTCACTCACCGTGTGTTCTCCAAAGACAACCTCCTTAGTAATGGAGCTGCCTAGGGTAGCAGCTTCATCCCACATTACAGTGTGTGGCCCATAGGCCATCTCTCCCCTGCCCCCTTCTCACATCTGAATCTCTCCTTACTCAGCTCCACACTCCTGTACCTGCACTACAGCCCATGGGGAGGGTTTCCGTAGCCCTGGCTAGGAGAGTATCTACTCTTCCCATCCTGCAGATGTCGCTGTCGCAGGGCTGCTGCAGCGCCCCCTCTTTCAAGCTCTGTCTCAGCTCCTAGTTCACCCCATATCTTGCCACCACCTCCCCCATCCATGTGCTACTCCCTCACTTACTCTGCTTAACCATTTCTTGTCTATCATTGTGTAAGCCACACAAGCATAGCTTCAGAATGAATTCTTCATACGTAAATCTTAATTTGAGTACCTTCCTAATCAGAAATCAGAAATTGCTGGTATTAAAGTTTTATTTCCCCTGCTTGCCTTCACAATTTGCATTTTGTAAATAAGTAAAGGGAATGGAGGTTCCTCTCAAACATTTGAAGATTTGCAAGACAATCGCTCATCCATGATGGCACTTTTGATTTGAATAGAAATGTCATTCTCTGTTTAATTCAGCACTCACCAGGAAAGTCCCAAGGTTGCTGACTAATGTTTCTTTCAGTCCTTAGGTGGTCATATAATTAGCAGGCTGTCGACTTCTGATCTCAACCCCATTTTGGGAGTAGGCAATTGCATCCTCAATGTTGCTTCAAAAGGTGAGCTACTGCATTCCCTTAAAGGTGCTGATGTCAGTTTTAGAAACACATATTGAATACGGTTGTAGGATAACACAGGCATCCCTCAGTTAAGTCATTGGATGCAATGCTAACTTTGTACTTTGCTGTGGATATAACTGAGAACACACATTGTGGGGAAGAGTAGGTGGAAATGAACAACTGTAGGCTATCAGAAATACCACTGTAGATAATTAGCATCTCAACTGGCCTTTTTTCTTGCCTGGTCATGACCAAAGGATAACACACCTGTGATGAACTGAGGCTACACAGCAAGTGTACTGTAATGAAGAAAGACTTTTATTTTAGTGCATTTTAATGGGTTTATGACTTACTTTTTGTCCTTGACTTACATGTTTAGGTTCTAAAGATATCATTTATATTTTTAAAAATGTATATTTGATGCTCTGTGTCACACATCACTCAACACTGGACATGTCTGGCACTAGATGTGTGTGTGTCTGTCGGGGGCAGGTGGTGCTCCTCACACACTAAGCAATTCTCCAGCAGATATAGAGTATCTACCTGGAGATGGTATGAGATGCAACAGTTGAAGGGCCACTCTGAAAAGACTGCTCTCCTCACTTGTCAATCCCATGTCCAGGCCTCTGGTCCTTTTGACCAACAGGCTATAAACTGGGGTTTCCCTGACCCCTTTGGGTCCAACTAATTCTCTAGAGTGGCTCACAGGACATAGGGAATGCTTCTCTTTAGCCTTTTATTCTAATGGGTATTAGAAAGGGTCTCAGGAAAGAGCAGATGGAAGAGATACGTAGGCCAAGGCATGTGGGGAAGGGCAGAGTCTCCATGCCCTGGATTAGTCAACTTTTCTTTAATTAAAATACACGACAAGAGCTTCTTGGGAAGTAACAGCTTGGTTTTGGCTCACAGTTTGGAGGTTCACAGTTCAAGTTCAGGGAGCCCCATTAATTGGGGGTCTGATGGAGGCTAGAATGCTTGAGCATACGAAGAGGAGCAGTCACATGGGGAGCCAGGAAGCAGAGAGAGACACAGCAAGCACGCCTGGCTTATGCATCCAGCACTTCCATGAGAACCTCCTTCAAGGCCAAGCCCCCAGTGACCCAAAGACCTCCCACAGGTCCATCTACCAGATGCCATAATTAGATCAATTCTCCACCCTTAATCCAATCACTGTTAATGTAAGATTCCACTGTAGTTATACATTTTCCCATAAAAAAGTGTCAGTGGCATTGTGAAATACCAAGAACTACATGTGTTGGTCACTATGAATGGTTCCAGACACAGAAATCTTTATAATTTCCTGAATGATAGGAGTGTCTGAAACAGAAGTTCTCATTGGGATTTAGACGTTTCCATGAACTTAGGGAGCCAAGTGTCCTGTTCAATCCACAATGTCCTCTCTGGGTACACTACCCTCCTGGCACCTCCACAAATTCCGCTTCCAAGATGCTCACCTCCACCCTGTCCTTTTGAGGCTCTGTGGAAGCTCCATTATGTAGGCGTGACTGGTTACAGCATTGGTCTTTGCTGAAAGTCACAACTCTCATCACATGGTTGGATTTCCCTGGCAACCAGCTGCTTTCCAACTGCCCGTCAAGAGGGACCTCATGAGAGTAAAAGACGCCCTTCCCATGCAAGAAATTCCCAGGAATTGAGGACCTCTGCTACAGGTGCTGCTGTCATTCAGGAAACTACAGAGATCTGAGGATTTCTGTGTCTGGAACCAGAAGCAAAGACCAATACATGCAGTTCTTGTTATTTCACACCACGGGGAAATTTATAACTGCAGTGGAATCTGTGGGAGATGATTCATGAGGACCACGACATCTTTAATGGTGTCCAAGGCCTACTGCCTAGGAAACATCTGGTTCTATACTGATCTTGTCAGGTGAATTTATTGGAAATGGAAGATCCAGCAGGACCAGCCTGGGGCAATGACCCCTATGTGGGAAAAAAAAAAAAAAAGAAGAAGAAGAAGAAAAAAGGGAATACTTCGTGGTTGACAAACTGCACAAGGGAAATCGGTCTCTTTTCACTTGACTTTTGACCAGAAAGAACATTAGCCAATTTGATCCGCTGCCTTATCCATCAAACTGGCTTCTGGGTGACTTTTACCTCTTACTATAAATCAAAAGTACCTTCAAAAGATTGAGATTTATCACAGCCAAGGCCACAGGCTGTGGAACATCCCCTGAAGGGTGCCCAACGTGGGGTGAGGAAATCAGTACTGAGATAAATGTCTAACACCTCCTACGGTGACTGCTTTGAGGAGGGTGGCATTCACTTGCTTGCCTGTGCTTTGGGATTTGGGTTTAAGATAATCATATAGCTGGAAGAAGGGCAAGTTCTCCTGAGTAATCTACATATGCTTACCATGCCCCTCTCCAGAATTTAGATTCTTCAGGCTCTCTCCCCCACAGCACTCCCATTGGTCTGCGCTGTCACGTTTGTCCCCTGAGTATGATCATTCTGCTCTACGGGTTACACCATGTCTTGTGAGCAGAGTTGTTCTGGTGACCCGGAGGAGCTGTGCTCTGTTAATACAGGCGGAAGACAATTTAAGACTGAATTTTCGGAGACAGTGGATACAACTTTGGGAAAATTGTGATATTGTGTGTGGCTAGTTTTCAGTTTAATTTTAATTTTAGAATGTATTTTTAGAATAAGAATACCACTGGATTTGATAAAGTACAAAGCCAATTCAGTAGTATAAATTACCTTTAAATTAAATACTTTTTTTTCCCCAACAGAAGGAATGCAGCAAATTCCTTTGAATGATCATTTTCTTGCTGGAGCAACAAATGCAAGCCTTAAGCCAGAACAAGTCCTAGTTTCTGTGTTCATTCCTATCTCTAGAAAGGTATGAGATTGTGGAGTTTATAATGCCCACTTCTGTTTCCTTTTAGTTGCTTTATTGAACTGTTTTTCATTGCTGGAGTGAAATAGCTGGGGCAAGCTAACTTTATAAGGAAAGGAAAAGAGGTTTATTTAACTCATGTTCCAAAGAGCACGGCACAGGTGCTGGCAAGGCCCCATGGTGCATGGAGAGAATGTATGCAGGAAGAAGTGATCACATCCCAGACAGGAAGCCAGAGGGGTCAGGCTCAGCTTTTTTTTTTTTTTTTTAAATTTATTAATTTGAAAGACAGAGTTACAGAGAGAGGTAGAGACAGAGAGGGAGGTCTTCCATCTGCTGGTTCACCCCCCAGATGTCCGCAATAGCCAGAACTGTGCCGATCCAAAGCCAGGAGCCAGGAGCTTCTGTCAGGTCTCCCAAACAGGTGCAGGGGCCCAGGGATTTGGGCCATCTTCTACTGCTTTCCCAGGCCATAGCTGAGAGCTGGATTGGAAGTGGAACAGCTGGGTCTCGAACTGGCGCCCATATGGGATGGCGCCAGCACTGGAGGCGGCAGGCAGCTTTACCTGCTATGCTACAGCACCGGTCCCTGGAGTTGCTTTGTTTTTATCTTGAACTAAATTGAGCATAATAAAAACTAGAATTTATAGCAAACATTTATACTTGCCTAGGTACAAGCAGTAGTAGCTGATTAGATGCCAATCTGCTTAAATTACAGAACTTCAGGACATTGTGCCATTTTCTGATTCGTCTTCAAGAACTCTAAAAACCATATAATCACAGAGCATATCATTTAAAGAGACCAATGACCTTATTTTATAGATGAGAAGATTGGGGTTCAAAGAAATTTAATTATTTCAACAAAATTTCACAATGAATGGGTGGTAGAACTAGCACCAAAACCCAACATCAGTATCAGGGATAAAAACTAGAATAAAGAATCATTTATAAAATGTTTCACTCTGATGTTAATGTCCAAGATTCATGTATTCTTCAAATAAATAAGAACTTCAGGGAAATAAGGGACCAGTGAGTTCTGATTATACTAAGATACGGATAGCACAGGAGGAATTCAGGTATCCCTTGACGGATGAATATGGCTTTGACTGGTTTTTTGTTTGAACTATCTGTTTCAACAGATGGAAACTTGGACTAATGTGGATGGTTACTATTGCATCTCAGGGCTTGAGCTCTGGATCAGCTTGGCCAATAAATGGAAGTTGGTAGCCATTTCTCACACACACAAGAGCAGAATACTTTTTTTTTTTTTTGACACTTTCCCCTAGTATCATTCATTCATTCCGTTATTTGTAGAATCTGCTGTATAGCACATGAACACCCAGGACAGAGAAAAGTCACCATCATTTGCTAAAAATATTGCTGGATGTCCTCCTCCCCTGATACTCATGCACTGACTTTTTAGCTAAACTTCCTGGATTTGATTGAATGAATTAGGAGAAGAACAAAATGAAACAAAGGTTTGCTGCAGAAAACTCGCCATTAGTCCTCAGAGCCAACAAGTTAAGTCTCTGCTGGTTAGTGTTAGGGATGCTAGGACTTCAGAAGAGTTTTACCAAAGGAGAAAGGAGATGATGTTCTGAGAATGGAGAGTACTCCAGGCTCCTAGTTTTCATGAGAATCTCGGTAGCAACAGTGGGTGATTCTGAAGTGATAGTAGTATTCTTGCCATCACTGCCCCCAAGTTTAACCTGAATCAATTCAGGAAGAAATAGATAGCCCAAGCCAAAGGACACTATAAAACGACTAATCAATGACTCAAAAATGTCAGCATCATGAAAGACTAGAGGACTTTTTCAGAGAAAAGGAAAGGAGAGAGGCTCATGAAGGTCTTTGATTGGAGAAACTTGGACATGACCTCTGTTAAATAGCACCATTGCATCAATACTCACCCCTCAGTCTCATTCTCATCTTGGTTGGTGCTGAGGTTATAAAGAAGAAAGAGCCCTTGGCTGTTTTGCTTCTGTTTTGGGGTATTTTTTCTTTTTGGAACTACACCTGGAAACATTTCAGGGATGAAGTATCATGGTGTCTTTGATTAGCTTTCAAATGTGTCACTACAAGTTCTTCCCCAAGACTGAGCTTAAAAACCCGACTCCCACCAGCCCTTCAGGTCTTTCTCTCTTGGAACCACAGCCTCCTGGCTGCTTCGGCAGGAGGTTTCCAACTTGAATAAATCCTGCTTTTCTTTTGGAAAAAATTAAAAAGTGTCACTAAAACTGTATGAGTGTGTGTGCATGTCTTGTGTGTGAGGGGGGAGTGGCTAGAGGGAGAGTGAGCCTGTGGGGTACAGTGCTGACCCTTGGTGAATCCGTGAATGTAGGTATCAATATTTATTGTGCTGTCCTTGAGACTTCTCTGTACATGTGAAAGCTTTCAAAACAAAGGGTTGTTCTTGTTGTATTGCAGTGGGAGTTTGTGTCAGCTTTCAGACAGGCCCCCCGCCAGCAAAATGCCCTTGCAATCGTGAATGCTGGGATGAGAGTCCTTCTCAAAGATGGCACACACACCATTGCGGACTTGAACATCTTATACGGAGGAGTGGGTCCTACTACTGTCAGTGCCAGGGAATCCTGCCGGCGGCTCCTTGGAAGGTGAGTGATAGACTTGCACCTCCTCCCAAATACAGTCTGTTTGCCCTTGAATAGCTACAACTGACACGGCTACCCAAGGTGGAGTGTGGGGAGCAATTCGGACTAGACTAAGTTACTGGAATTAAGACTTATTCTATGCATCTGCTCTCCCACAATATGGCGCTGGGAGAGAAGAAAACAGCTTTTACACAGCTGCCTCCAGTTCAACCAATAAACTGTAGGACTTGCTCCTGATTGGAGGAGAGCAGCGTACTCGGCGTGTGGGCAGCCGAGTTGGGATTGGCAGAGGAGGACTATAAAGGAGGAGAGAGACGGCATGCACCAGGAACATCTAAGGGGAACATCTAAGGGAACACCTGTGCAGCCCCCGAGAGAGCCGGCCGGCGGTGTGCCGCTCCCCTGTGGAAGTGGGGAATGTGGCCAGGGGGAACTGCCCTTCCACGGAGGTGGAAGGGATAGTAGCCAACCCGGGAAGAACCAGCAGCAAACCCGGGGAGGGCCGAGCAGACAAAAGAACAGCGCAGGGTCATGTGTCGTTCCTCCACGAAGAGGGGGAGCGACAGTGGAGGCCTGTGTCTCTGTAGTGCCACAGCATTTTACAGTAAGTGTATGTGATAACTGAAAGCAAGATTTTAAATAGTACACACAAAGGCCCAGTTGTGTGTGATGGGACTTCCAAGTGAGAAAAACGATGTGATCAACCTTTGTTTACATTTTTAAGATCAGTTTTCTGGTTACTATCACACACTTGTTTATCCCTGAATTTCTTTTGCATCTAGATGCTGGGATGAAGACATGTTGAATGAAGCTTGCAGGCTGGTCCTAGATGAGATCCCACTTCCGGCGTCTGCCCCTGGAGGGAGGGTGGACTACCGCCGAGCTCTCCTGATCAGCTTCCTCTTCAAATTCTACATCGACGTGTGGCGGCAGTTACAGATGAGGGTAAAGTTGCAGCTGTCCTTGGGTTGTCTTGGGCACGAGAGCTTGTTCCATTGCTTTCACCCCAGCCCGGGCCGGGAAGTTAAAGGAGCACCATGTGTCTGTCTCCATGACCATAATTCTGATTTCTGGGATCCCTTATGGACCAAACCATTTCATAGGCACTTCCCCAAAAAAGAAAAATAAAAGTCTGAGGACCATGCAGCCACATAGATTTTGAAGATGTTTTTCTATTAATCAACTGAAGTCTGTCAATTAATAATTCACATTAAAATAATAAAAGCATCTTTACTTCAGGAACCAAGTGGCTACCCTGACATTCCCAAGAAACTCTTAAGTGCCCTGGAAGACTTTCCATTGACCATTCCTTGGGGGATACAGTCATTCGAGGTCAGTACATTTCTGGACGGGCAGAACAGCCACGTAGGGCTGCAACTGTGTTGTCATGTGGTTTTGCTTTTTAATCTCAGTGTGTGTATATATATATATATTTATATATATGCATATATACTATATATACATATATATACACTATATATATGAAGTATATATACATATATAGTCTTTTTTATATATAAGCTTTTAGGAAAGTTTCAGTTATGGAGATGTTCTACAGTTGGAAAACACAGTAGAATAACAGTTCCCATTAAATAGTAACCAAAAAACAAACCTTTATGAATAAAATCAACAGGAAGTATGCAGGACCTGCAAGAAGAGGACTTTTAGATTCTACTGGTAAACTCTCAAAAAAAAAAATGACAAAAACACAGACTTGAACAAAAGGAAAGATACAGTCTTTAGCTAGGAAGACACACTGACTGTAAAGTTATAAATTTTTTCTTATTATTCAATAAATTAAATGCATTCTCAATCAAAATACCAACAAGATCCTTTGGGAATTTGATTTCAAAGTTTATCTAGGAAGATAAATATGAATATTTTTGAAAATTATGAACAGTAATAAGGATGAACTAGCCTAGATACTATTGACGTGTATTACAAACCTCTGGTAATTAAACATTATAGGTACTGAAACAGGAAGAGACAAGAGACAAAAAGAACAGTGCAGGATCGAGAAAGGGGCCTCATTAGAAACAAATATACATTTCAAACACATGTAATAAAGTGGAGTATCTAGGAAGGGATATTGGTGTAGCTAACTAACCATTTTAAAAGTAGAAAAAAACTTTAGTGAGTCAGCAGTTGGAAGATCTCCCCCTCTTTGTCATTCTGCCTTTCAAATAAATAAATAAATCTTTAAAAACAGGAATCATGAACTGTACTTCTATTTCTCATGTTACAATAAACAAAGTCTAAATTGCTTAGTTTTTTTTTTTTTTTAAAGATTTTATCTATTTTGAAAGTCAGAGTTATACAGAGAGAAGGAGAGAGAGAGAGAGAGATCTTCCATCCACTGGTTCACTGCCCAGATGGCTGCAAGGGCTAGCATCGGGCCGGGCTGCGGGGAGCCAGGAGCTTCTTCCAGGTCTCCCACATGGGTGACAGTGACCTAGGTATTTCAGCCATCATCTGGTGCTTTCCCAGGCCATTAGCAGGGAGCTGGTTTGGAAGTAGAGAAGCCGAGACGCAAACCGATGCCCATATGGGATGCTAACATCACAGGCAGTGGCTTTATCTGCTATGCCACAATGCTGGCCCCTAAGGTTTTAAAGATCAAAAACTAAAGCATAAAACTACTAGGAAAAAAAATACTCTTTAAACAAAATCCATAGCCTGGGGAGAAAGGACTTGTAACTGTGACATGATACCCAGAAATTATAAAAGAAAATATATATTTGATTATATAAAAGAGAAAAACTTGAAGAAAAAATTAGAAATAAACACAGTATAGCCACTGGCAGATCACTGGGAAAATAAGCTATACTGAGCCTCATCCAAAATGTGTTTAACTGCAAATTAAAACTTAAACTAGATATGATTTTAACCTATCAGACTGGCAACAATTTAGGTACCCAGGACCCATTCAATTTGAAAATTTTTTTCTACAAGCATACTTAAAGTCTTCAAAATAGTTGGGTAGGGGTTACAGGAGCTCACCAACAGGGGGCAGAAGAAACATGTCCCAGTTTTACCAAAGCCACTTTTTCCCTGACAAAATTTATTTTTTTATAAGAAAAAATTTTATTTGTTTGAAAGGCAGATTGTCAGAGAGAGGGAGATACAGAGAAAGATCTTCCATCTGCTGATTCACTCCCCAAATGGCCGCAATGACCAGGACAGGGCCATCCCATCCCTCCCCCCCCCCCCAAAAAAAGAGTCAGGAACTCCATCTGGGTCTCCCCAGTTGGGTGGCAGGAACTACAGTCCTTGAGCCATCATCTGCTACCTCCCAGGTGTATTAGCTGGAAGCTTGGATCAGAAGGCAGAGGTAGACCCCATCCAATATGGGATGCAGGCATCCAAGGGGCAGCTTTTCCCACTGCACACAACAGCCAGCCCAGACACGTGATGTTTATATTCAGATGGATGTGCTATAACTTATTAAGCCAGTCCTCACTGTTGGGAATGAGCAGTCTTCCGGTGAGTACGCTAGTACCTAAGCCTGCACACATTCCCAGCTTCGTCCTTAGAACAAATTCCTGGAAGCAGAGTTTCTATCTACTTCTCAGGCTTTTAAAGCTGTGACCATTAGAAAGGCTTGGTTTTTTTTTTTTTTTTTTTTTTTTTCAGTTAACACTCTTAGCAACTGTGTTTGAATGCACCCATTTTATCACACCCTTACCAACTTTAGATATTGCATATTCTAGCTTTCAACAATTGAGAGAAAAATGGGATGTTGCTATTTTGATTAGCATTAGGGTCAGCTTTCCGTATCGGTACTGAATATGCACAGACTCCTTTCTTGTCAATATCCCCTAACAATACAGGATAACAACTAGTTACATGGCGTTTATGTTGTATTAGGTATGATAAGAAATTAAGGGAGAATTTATAGCCTACAAAGGTTATACTGCAAATTCTATACCACTTTATATAAGGGACTTGAGTAGCTTTGGGTTTGGGTATTTTCAAGTTGTTCTAGAGCCAATCCCCTGTGGATATCAAGGGATGACTATACTTCAGTTATAAGTGAAGTTAAAACCCTTTTCCCCCACTTATTTAATGGCCATTTATAGCGCTATTGTGTTTTTATGCTGGTGAAATCTCATAAAAATGGACACTAAAGACAGATTTTAAGGACAAAACATGCAACAAAAGGGCAGCTAGAAGCCTGAGGGAAATGGAAGGATAGGACTTTTCACTGACCTGGGCTGCAAGGAAGACATACGGTCCTATGCATTTGACTCCCAGGACCCCAAGCTAACCCCTACTGTCCACTCAGGACCCCAGGCTAGCCCCTCACTGTCTATCTAGACCCACAATGGGAGAGAGAACACAGCTCTGTTTAAATCTGCTCCCCAAAGTGGAGAGCCTGATTCTCCTACTGGCATCAATCAATCTCCTTGAGTTGGGCTGGTTGTTGGTTCCAGTTGGTTTACCAGATGGCAGAAAAGAATCTGTTGTTTGGTAAATTGCCTGAGGTTCATCCCCAGGATCACTGGGAGACATCTTCAGTGGACAGTTTACCCAAAATTATGGGATGTAAGAACTGATACCTCTTAAAAGTCTCCCTGTGTATGTCATGCCATTTGCCTTGAATGGTGGAAGATAAAACTTGATCTTCACACAGCCTCCAAATTCATAGCCCCGGATCAGCAGAAAGGGCTCTTCCCTTGGTTCACAAATGCTGCTCTAGCTGAAAAGCATGGCTCCAATCTCACATTGTCCTTTGCATGTTCAGGGAGTGTGGAGTCCAAAGAGCTTAAAACAAACACCCCTCCCAAACTACTTACTGAAGAACAGGGACTAGAACTCACCAGATGCTCATTGGGTCTTCCCTACTTCCCTGCCTGAAGGGAGACCTCACAGGGGCTACTTGTGTGGCTCCCTGTTTTAAGCTGACATTAACCATGAACATGGACTTTCACTGGTCAATAATGGGAAAGTCTAAAATATCCCCCTCAGATCTGTTCTATAAAACACTTAGGTTTTCTCGGAAAAGCAGGGCTTCCCACACACTCACTGCCACAGAGCCAGTTCTCACTCACGGTCCATCCCCACCTGCTTCATCTTCATCACACCTGCCCTGTCTGCTTCACACTGAATTGTAAGAGGAACAAGGAAAAGCCCACTTAAGTTGAACACACACTTTCTTGGAAAGGCTTGCCCCACCCAGAGTGGGGAAAGAGGTACCCAGGTTTTAGTGGGAGTTTCTGACTCATAAATACTCCTGCTTGATCAACTTGCTTTGTGTTTGTACTATTTCTTAAATGCAGCGTATGGATCCCCAACAGCCCTCCCAAGACCCAGTGGGACGCCCCATCATGCATCAGTCAGGCATTAAACACGCCACGGGGGAGGCTGTATTCTGTGATGACATGCCTGCCTTGGCAGACGAACTCTTCCTGGCTGTGGTGACCAGCACCAGGCCGCATGCCAAAATCATGTAAGTAATAAAGGCAGGGTGAGAAGGCCGATGATGCCTGGCAGACAGGACGGGCGTAATTGTCTGTTAGCGACTGGTCCAACACAGCTCATTGAGGCAATCTCAGCATATATCTTGATAAAATAAAATTAAAAGGAGGAAGAAGTCTGTGGGTTTGGGAATGGATCAAAGAGTAAACTCCCATCAGAAGGATTTGGCACCAGAGGGGCTGGCCTCTACTGTCTGAGAATGTAAAGGGGTGAGAACGACTTCTTCAGTCCATGAGATCCCAAAGAGCTATGGTTCCCTCCACCTTGTTGCTGGATGTTCATCTTCACAGGAGCCTGAGCTCCCCACTGTGCCATCCACTCAAGCTTTGTTTATGGAACCTCCAGGACACAATTCCCTGGACAATGAGAATAACACAGTGCTCTTCTGAGCACCCCCAATCTTGCCACTCTTTGCAGCCAGAGGATCCCATGTCATCATGTCCCAGAGCATTAACATACTTTTAATACACTTCCTGTTGGAGACTCACTTGGTAGTACTCATGTGAATTACAGTGGGGTGCTGGGAATTCCACATTCTCATGGAAAAGGGCCCTTTTATCCTGTATCATGCTTGTCACATTTATGGTTTTATTTCCTCCCCAGTTCCATGGATGCCTCTGAGGCCCTGGCACTGCCTGGTGTCATCGATGTGATAACGGCGCAGGATGTTCCTGGTGAAAATGGCAGTGAGGAAGAAAGATTGTATGCACAGGATGAGGTAGTGCAAAAACAGTGCCTGAGATGCTGGCGGCATCTTAATCACAGGGGTGGCTGCTCTTCCTGGGTGCTATTTTTCAGGTGCCTTTGTGCACGGGATCAAGTGCCATCCTGCCAACATCCTTAGGCTGTCTGTTTGTGCGAAGTCTCCTTTCAGAACACATTTAAGGCTATAAGAACCCTGTTAAATGGACACAGTTCTTGCTATTTTAAGAAAACAACATCAGTCACCTGCAAAAGTCAAGATGGTATCTGAGCAAAAACTCCAGCACGTGTCCCACGGAGACACCGGTGTGAACATCTAGACCCACACCAGGTCACCTTCACAAGAGCTGTAGAAGCTGGGCCAGGGACTGTGGACGGTCTCTGGACTCGCCCCAATATCAGGCAGAGCCATGCACCTTGGTAAGAGATACTTGTTTGGGGGCTATCACATCACCAGGCTCTGACAGACCTGGTGTGCTCCCCCAAATTTCATAGGGCCTGCTGTCTGTAAGACACAGGTGAGACTCACCCAAGGCCTGCCTGAGTAGCAACCCACAACTTTGGTCAGACAGCAAAGAAACACAGGAGTGTCTTGGAACTCCATGCCAGACTGATAAAACTCAGCATTAAGCAGATTCTAACAGTGTCTATCCATAGATCAGTGGCTGCAGACTGAGCCTGTGGGCCTGATTCGGTGCCCAGTGGAATTCTGTGGTCATGGTTGAGCAGTCTGATTAGCAGTAGCTAGTAGCTGCAGTACTGGGCAGTGAGCTCACCTGAGCAGCAGAATAGAGAGGCACAAATGAAGCCAGATTGCTAAAACCAGTCCTTCAATGCACAAATAATCTTTACTCCAACAAGATCAAGAACTTTCAGGGAACCATGATCTCACCTAAAGAGCAAAATACGTTGCCAGAAACCAGTCCTCTAGAAACTGAAATTTCCGAATACTCATATGAAGGTTTCAAAATAACCATATTAAGGAAATGCAATGAAATTAAAGAGGACAAAGACAAATGATTCAGTGTTCTAACACTGAGGGTAGATTTGATAGAGAGATGGAAATAATTAAACAAAATTAATCAGAAATCCTTCAACTGAAAAATATATTAAGTGAAATTAAAAACATAGTAGAAGGCATCAGGAGCAGAATGAATCAGACAGAAGAAAAAATCAGTGAGTTCAAAGACAGGCTATTTAAAAATAGGAGAGAAAAAGGATCAAAAGGAATGAAGAAAGCTTATGGGATACATGGGATAGTGTGAAAAGAGTAAATATTCAAGTTATTGGTATTCAAGAAGGACTAGAGAATTCCAAAGGGGTAGAAAGCATATTCAAAAAGATAATGACAGAAAACTTCCTAAACATAGAGAAAGATACAGGGATACAGGTAGAGGAAGGTCAAAGGCCACTATTTTAACCCAGATTTTATTTTAACCCAGGTCAGATTTTAACCCAACCAAGTCTACTCCAAAACATATTGTAATCAAGTTCTATAAGGTTAAAGGTAAAGACAGAATTCTCAAAGCTGCAAGAGAATTTAAGCAAATAACACATAAAGGGGTCACAGTTTATCTGACTACAGACTTCTCAACAAAAGCCTTACAGGAGAGAGTGGAATGAGACTTCTGTAGACATGCAAGGACATACCATGTTCATGGATTAGAGGAATCAGTATCATTAAAATGTCATACTGCACAAAGCAATTTACAGATTCAATGCAATCTTGATAAAAATCTTAATGACATTTTTCACAGAACTAGAAAGAAACACTATTAAAATTTATATAGACTCACAAAAGACCCTGAATGGCCAAAGTACTCTTGATCACAATGGAAAAATAAAAAGATATTATATTACCTGACCTTAAAATATATTCTAAAGTTGCAATAATTTAAACAACATGGTATTACATAAAAACATATCCATAGACCAATGGAACAGAATAGAAATCCTGGAAGTAAGCCACATATCTGTAGTAAATTGATCTTTGACAAAGGTGCTAAGAACATGCATTGGAAAAAGGATAGTCTTTTAAATAAATGGTGCTTGGAAAATTGAATATACACATGCAGAAGAATGGAACTAGATCCTCCTTGTTCATCATTTACAAAAATCAGCTCAAATGAATTAAAGACCTAAATGTGAGACCTGAAACTTTTAAACTATTAGAAGAAAACACTTCAGGACATGGGACTAGGCAAAGATTTCCTGGATTAGCCCTCAAAAGCACAGGAAATAAAAGGAAAAAATAGACAAATGGTATTTCATCAAACTAAAGAGCTTTTTTAAAACAAAGAAAGCAATCAACAGAATGAGGAGACAACCCATAGTATAGTAAAAAAAAAAATCTACAAGCTATATATCTGAGAAGAGGTTAATACTCAGGATATATAAAGAATTCATACAACTCAATAGCAAAAAAACCAAATGTTACTATTTTAAAATGAGCAATAGATCTAAATAGACATTTATCAAAGGAAGGCATAAATATGGCGAATAGGTAAATGAAAAAATACATAACATTACGAATCATCAGGCAAATGCAAAGCAAAACCACAATGAGATATCACCTCACTCCAGTGATATTGGCTGTTATCCAAAAGACAAAGGTAACAAGCATTGGCTAAAATGTGGAAAAAAGGGAACACTTGGATGCTGTTGACAGAAATGTAACTTAGTACAGCCATTGTGGAAAACAGAATGGAGGTTCCTCAAAAAACCTAAAGATAGAACTACCATGTGCTTCAGCGATCTCACTTCTGGGTATATATCAAAGGGACATAAAATCCACCTTTCAAAGAGACATCTGCATTCCCTTGTTTATTGCAGCACTGTTCACAATAGCCAGGAGAGGAAAGCAGCCTCAGTGTCCATCAAACGATGAATGGATATTACTCAGCCATTAAAAGGGATGCAGTCTTGTCATTTGCAGCAACGTGGCTAGAACTGGAGGTTAAGGAAAATAAGCCAAACACAGAAAGATAAATATCACATACCTCACTCATATGTGGAGTTTAAAAAAAAAAACTCAATCTCATAAATGCTGAAGATATAATATAGTGACCAGAGGCTGGGGAGGGAAGTGGGGAGGCAGAGGGATTGTGCAAGGTTGATTGATGGACACTAGGTGATAGCCAGATAGGAGTAAGAAGTTCTGGGGTTCTATTGCACAGTAGAGTGAAGATAGCCATTGTAATTTATTGTATATTTCTCTATAAACAAATCAAAAAATGTGATTTGGGGATGTTTTCATTCTAAGGAAATATATGTATCTTCTCCTTAACAAATGCTTAACCTTTAAATGTTAAATGCGTCACAGGATAAATATAGTTACTCTGGACATCGCACAATGTATACATGTAAGGAAACACCATATAGAACTAGACCGATGTGTGCAATTTTGTGTTTCTTAAGTTTTTGTTAAAAATTTTTAATTAAAGATGATAACATGGAGGCTTAGATGGTTTTAGTGAACTACCTAAGACCTTACAGCTAGTTGTGGTAGAGGTAATATTCCATCTCAGCCCTGTGCTCTACGGTACAGGTGAATTCTGCCACATTATCCCAGGACATGTCTGCAACAGTTCATGTTGACAAGGGATTGCTTGTTCTCATTTTTATTCCTTCCTGGCATGTTACTTGGTCCGTTTTTGCTACAGGTGATTTGTGTGGGTCAAATTGTCTGTGCTGTGGCTGCTGACTCGTACGCCCATGCCAAGCAAGCCACGAGAAAGGTGAAGATTGTGTACAAAGATGTGGAACCTGTGATTGTGAGCATTCAGGTAATGTCAGCATCTGCTGGTCTTTTGGTCATTTGTCAGTCTTGCCAGAAAGTTCCAAAGCATGTTGTGAAGCCCTTTCATCTTGTGACATTTTCCAGCTGCTATGCTGGTATCAGAGACCGGAAAGTCTATGAGGGTGCTTCCCAAAGGCCATGGAAAGGTGTAGTTAAAGGTGATTTCATTGTGCTGGAAAACATTTGTGAACCCCATGCAGGTTTTTCATAATACACACTTTCCACAAACTTCTTGAAGACCCCTACTATTTTCTCCTAAGAAATTCACATTGCCCTACTTGCTGGAAATGTGTCCTCTTAGCCCACAACAGATCTCTAGTTGTTCCCATTGCCCCTAAGAACACTGGAAATACGATTGGGAAAGTTCCAAATTCCAAGGTTGGTATTGCCTCTCAGGTGGATTTTAACATTTTACATTTAAAATTCATTTTCCTTACCTCCTGTACAATGTTCCAGCTACCCTGGTCCTTTGTTGCCCTTAATTTTCTCTTTCCTTGTGTGCAACCAGTTCACTCTCATTTGAGTGTGGCCAGTGGCCTTTTTTTCTGAGCTTTTCTGCACTTTTTGGGTTTCAAGGTAAAAGTGCAGTGATTCCTTTTGTGCATCCTGGATATGATGCTAAAGAGGGCAATAGCACAATTACCCAGAGAAGCCACAGGGAAAGATTTTATGTGCACTGTATTGGGCAGGCGGGGCAGCCCACTGGATACCCTCTGCTCCTTTACCTAAGAACAGAAACTGAAGATCTGTCCACAAATGAATACAGTGGAATCACCTCTCACTTGGGAACAGGTTCTTTATGAAAACAAAGAATGACCAAAATAAACCTTAATATACTACACCACTGGGCGGGGGGAAAGCCATTGTAATTCATAAACTGTACTTTGGAAATTTATATTTACTAAATAAAAGTTTTAAAAAAATATACTACACTGCTATACCAAGACAAACCAAGACAAAAAGGACTAAAGATTGAAAGGTCAAAAGTGAAATCCAAAAAGTACAAGAATAAAGCATGGGAAAACTCCTTAATAATAATTTTAACAGTGAACCAAACTCTAAAGTTTATAAGAGAAAATATTAATTTGGCTACATATAACAAAGAAAATTATAATAGTCAAAAGAAGCATTAATTGGGAAAATATTTGCAAACCATACTGTGATCAATAAGCCAAGTTCCTAAGTATATAAAGATTTCCTAGAAATTAGGAAGAAAAATCCAATAGAAAAGTGAGCAAAGAATACAAGGAGACAGAGCACAGAAAGAAAATACAAACAGCCCTTATATAGGAAAAGAGGTTTGATTTATGAATAACAAGAGAAATTTAAATTACAAGCTACAATGAAATGCCACAGTTAACTTATCAGATTGGCAAAAATAGAAAAGTTTGACAATTCATACACTTGGCAAACTGTGGGAAAACCGGTGCTCTCTTATCTTGCCAGTAGAAGCATAAACTGGGAACAGCATATATGAAGGGAAATTTAGAAATAACCATTGAAATTCCAAACGTGTATACCCTTTAACGAGCAATCCCACTCTGGGAATTTAGCATGCAGCTTAGCAGACCCACCTGCCAGATAATGTGTTTTACAAGTTCTTCTTTGCAGTGTAATTTATAGTCATAAAATACTGGAAACAACTCAAGGGTCCTTCGATGTATGCAGTGGAATCCTACGCAGCTGTATAAATTTTTTAAAGAATGAGGATGTTCTCTCTGCACAGAAATAGAAAATTCTCCAAGTTACACTGTCAAGTGAAAGGCAAAATGCAGAGAAATATGCAAAGTGGGGCGTGTAGTACTACAGATTCCCACTTGCTTGTATCTGCAGAGAACCTCTATAACAGCACATGAAGAGTAGCAGTGGAGTGTACCTTTGGAGGGAGTGGGTGGAAACCAGACACAGGGACAGGCATGGACAGGGCAAAACTCACCAAATACATTCTGCTTCTGTTTCATTTTTTTAAAAAGATTGATTTATGTATTTAATTGAAAGACGGAGTGACAGAGGAGAGACAGAGAAAAAAGAGATCTTCCATCTGTTGTTTCATTCCCCAAATGGCTGCAAGAGCCAGGGCTGGGCCAGGCTAAAGCCAGGGGCCAGGGACTCCATCCTGGGTGGGAGAGAGAGGAGTTGCAACTTCGGTAAATGTTGAGGTTCACAGTTTAGCTAAATAGTCCTATGATGAAGCTCCATTGTCTGTTGAACGCATTTCCTGACCTTTGCCAGCCCCAGAGATACTGTCTGAAAAGAGAAGCTGTGCTCACTGGGCACCAGACATCATGTTTGAAATCTGTGCTGCCCTAGGGGATTCTGGGATTGATAGTAAATACCAAATACGGTTTTCAGTGTGAGGGTTATGGAGGTGATCAATGTAAAAAATATTGAACTGGGCAGGGGCTGGTGCTGTGGCGTAGCGGGTAAAGCTGCCATCTGCAGTGCCAGCATCCCATATGGGCACTGCTTCCGGCCATTGCGGCCATCTGGGGAGTGAACCAGCAGATGGAAAACCAATCTCTCTCTCTCTCTCTGCCTCTCCTCTCTCTGTGTAACTCTGACTTTCAAGTAGATAAATAAATTTAAAAAAAATTTTAAAATATTGAATTGGGCAACATGGGTAATATTTTGTATTTGTTACTTCCCACAGGATGCAATAAAACACAAATCATTCATTGGTCCTGAAAAGAAACTAGAACAAGGAGATGTTGAGAAGGCATTTCAAGCTGTTGATCAAATCATTGAAGGTAAATTCATGAATCCCTTTTTATCATGGGGCTTTTTAATACATGAATGCTGCTTGGATCAAGACGACACCTCTGTAGAACTTGGGTGAAGCTGATGCATCTTAATTCTCATGGAAATTAGTAAAGAGATGAACAGTCCAGAACATCAAATTCAGAGAGGAGGGGAAAGTTTGTGAAGGGCCTTGATTTTCCCCAAATTATACTGATTCCGTAGAGCAGCTCTTTAGTGCACCTGGCAGTGCAGTTTGGATAGAAAATAGAAAAGTGGCAAAGAATGCAAGCACACAGAACCCACGAAGAAAACATAAACAGCCCTTACATAGGAAGAGATGTTTGACGTGAGGTCCAAGGGGCCCACAGACATACACAGGGCACTGTCCAAAGGCAGTTAGAAAGGAATTCTGCGCGGGAGGGCAGTGGAGGATGGCCCAAGTACTTGGGCCCCTGCACCCTCATGGGAGACCAGGGAGAAGCACCTGGCTCCTGGCTTCAGATCGGTGCAACGCTGGCCAGAGGTGCCATTTGGGGGGTGAACCAACGGAAGGAAGACCTTTCTCTCTGTCTCTCTCTCTTACTGTCTATAGCTCTATCTGTCAAATAAATAAATAAATAAATAAGGAATTCTGCGGTTGAAGATGTGGGGTCCCATGAGAGAAACTATCAGTCAACAAAGTCACCGAAGGCGAGAATGACATCTAAAAAAATCCATTTAACAAACACGGCGGCTTCAACAAGTTCATGGGAAATGGAATTAAAAGATAATCTTAAGTTGGTGCAGAAACATTTTGAAATCCATAAATACAAGAAGTCTTCAAAAAGCTCATAAAATGCATACTATGAGAAAACTGTATTTTTAAAAAAAATTTGCACCAAAATAAACATCTTTTAATTTCATTTTTCTGCAGTCTTCTTAAAAGTATCTATTTTAGGTATTTGAAAGGGGCCATGACAAAATCTTCAGCAACATGTTCACTTGGAGTTAGTATTAAATTCCCAGACTTCTATCTTCTAGAGAACTATAACTGGACAAACCTAATGATCTCAAGGTTTACATCCTGAACATAAATTCAAGGGCTACCCAAAGACATTTCTGGAAACCAAGTCAATTTGCAATTATATTCATAGGTTGATCATTAAGTGCTTTGCCACACCTCTCAACACCACCATCTGCTTCCTGTGTGCAAGCAAACTTTATTTTTATTAGTCATGGGTTTCTGAAATTTTTACTTCCTACATGACTGAAATTTTGGGGAGAAAGTATATATTTTCATTCTCCCCTCCTTTCCCACACCCTTGCTCTCACATACACCCATTAGTCTGCACCATTGAGGTCCCTGTGGATTTCAATGAAATCTCAGCTCAATGGGTGCTGAGTGGGAGATTTGTGGTTAATCTTTTTAGCAAATAGATTAAAAAAACAAATGGCTGATTGGGTGTCACTGTTGCAATGCAAGTTTCTGTGTGTTGCATAAAATCAGCCCTGCCCCAGGCAGTGTCATTACAGAAATGGATTCGCCCTCCGGTAAGACGAGCTCAGTCTTTACTCTCACTTGATGGCTGTTGTTGCTCAAGTCAATAATGGTTTCCAGCTCTTGAGAACACACCGAAGTGGACAGGTAGGGAAAGAGAGCCTAAAGCCTGGGAGCTTTTTAAATTGCATTTCATTGTCAGTTATTTTGTATATAATAACAGCTGTCCGTGGGAATTTGGCAGCCTATAATAATGATCCTTTGAAATCAAGGCAGGAACTCAATGTTATTCCCATGAGCTGGAAGAAAATAATATGACAATGTAGTAAAATGTGCTGCATGCTTTTTCAAATATTCCAATGGAGTGTCTCTGAAAACAAGAGCCTCACCTGCTGCTGTGTTTAAAGGGGAAGTACACTTTGGAGGACAGGAGCATTTCTACCTGGAGACGCAAAGTGTGCGCGTGGTGCCAAAGGCGGAGGATGCAGAGATAGACATCTATGTGTCAAGCCAGGATGCAGCCTTTACACAGGTGGGCCCTCTTCCCATCAGGACTTTCTGTGTCACAGTCATGGTGCTTGCAAATGGAGTGCTGTCATTTTCCTGACGTTTAGTGGTGGAACCCAGACAGTGAGGTCATCTTTAGCCAATGGTTGAACATCAGCATAGAGGAAAGGCTCAGCCCTGATTTTCATGTTTCCTCCAGTCTTCTACAAGAATCCACTCCCTACCTCTCATGATGATTGCCTCCTACTTCATTTGTTCAAAAACCGAGCCCGTTGGTGTGAATGGCCCCATCACCATCTTCCCTCCCTACTCCTGCCTCATTCAGTCTCTCCCTCCCGTGCTGATCAACACTTACACCTGCACCTGCCCCCGAGGCCCACCTTGCCACCCCTCATTGTTCCTGCTCAGTCCTACGCCCTTGACGTTGTCTCGTCACTGCCCCACTCTGAGCCGGCTGTGAACTCAGCCTTCTTCAAGACCCTTCCTTCACTGTGTTTCTCTTGCACCTGTTGCTTCTGTCTCCTTCCCTTCTGAGACTGGTTTTTCCCCCCACTTTTTTTTTAAAGATTTATTTATTTTATCTGAAAGGCAGAGAGAGAGAAAGAGAGAGAGAGAGAGAGAGAGAGAGAGAGAGAGGTCTTCCATCCACTGGTTCACTCCCCAAATGGCCACAATGGCTGGAGCTGTGCTGATCTGAAGCCAGGAGCCAGCAGCTTTCTCTGGGTCTCCCACACGGGTGTAGAGGCCCAAGGACTTGAGCCATCCTCTTCTGCTTTCCCAGGCTACTAGTAGGGAGCTGGATTGGGAGTGAAACAGCCAGAACTCAAACCAGCACCCACATGGGATGCCTGCACTGTAGGCCGTGGCTTAACCCGCCACACCACAGCACAGCCCCATTATAACCATTGCCTACACTCTACTTCCTTACTTCCCATTTATGCTTTAATTCAGTTCTTCAATCAAGAAGCCTACTAGATCTCAAATCCAAGAGATTTTTTTCTGTCTTTTCTGGAAGCTCCTGCTGCCTTCCACCCTGCAGACCATGTGGTCCTTGAAATTCACACTCCCTTGGTTTGTCTGATGCTACACTCATATTTCTGCTTGTCCTTTTTGCTCCTTCTGTAATTCCCCCGTGGGCTCCTCCATCTCTGCCTGGACTTATTGTTCTTTGGTGAACCTACACCACATTGAAAGTCGAATAAAAATATGTGTCTTTCTCCCAAGATTAAAATGTCCTGTATAAGCAACACTATCAGCTGGAAAAACTTCCCCCAAGTCTAAACAGGTTAGCACAGCCAAACCTGATTTCTTGGTTGGGCCAAGTCCCACCTGGGTATTCTCTTGGCAGCTCTCCTCCAAGGGAGACCCAGAGATCTGCCTCCTACCGTTGCCTCATCTTTCCCTGCCCTGTACGTGCTGAGAATTAGCCACTAAAATCGATAGCCCTGGTCTTTCCTCTGAAGATCCAACTCTTGCATATGAGATATTTCATTTGGCCATGGACACTTCAAAATCAATAAGCCAAAGCTCTAATAATCATCTTTTTTAAATTAGTTTTTTTATTTTGTTTTGACCTTCAAGGATGACCTTATCTATATATATACCTGTAAGTAGACAGAAAGCCAAATGACATTCCTCTTATTGTTGTTGTTGTTGTTTTAACTCATTTTCATTTTATTTGAAAGCCAGGGAGACAGAGACAGAGATCTTCCATCTGCTGGTTCACTCCCCAAATGCCTACAACAGTTGGGGCTGGGGCAAGCTGAAGCCAGGAGCCTGGAATTCCAGCCAGGTTTCCCACATGGGTAGCAGGGACCCAAGTACTTGTGCCGTCACCTGCTCCCTCCCAGGATGCGCATTAGCATGACGCTGCAATCAGGAATGGAGTCAGTATTCAGACTCAGGCACTCTGGAATGTGAACATCCTAAGCTGTATCTTATCTGTGTACCAAGTGCCCAGTCACCAAGAAGCACTCCTAATGGTTCACCCTTACTTCCTGCTACAGCCATGGCCTCCCATGAAGCACCCCTCGGCTCCACTTTCTCCTTCTCCATTCCAAGTGTGAGCAGGTTGTAGTATTCTGTGACAGGGCCATGGTCCACCCAGCGAGGCAGGAGGAAATATTCCCTGATTGACTTTGATATCTGACTTAACCATGGATCCTTGACTGAACAGATACATGTCACCTATGTCAACAATGGGAATTGCCTCAAGAATTTTATTTATTTATTTAGAAAGAGAGAGAGAGAGAGAGAGAGAGATTGGTCTTCCACCTGCTGGTTCACTCCCCAGATGGCTGCAGCAGTCAGGGCTGGGCCAGGCCAAAGCCAGAACTCCATCTAGGTTCCCACATGAATGGACTCAAACACTCATGTCCTCTTCAGCTGCTTTCCCAGGCACGCTAGCAGGGAGCTGAATTGGAAGTGGAGCATCCAGGACATGAACTGGCACCCACATGGGATGGTAGCATCCCAGGCCGCAGCTTTACCCACTACACCTCGACATCAGCTCCTAGGGAGCTGCCTTTCTTTAAACTTCCTCCCACCCGCTCCTGCGGAGTTTACCATCACTACTTCTCACCTGCTGCAGTCAGGGGTCATTACCAGCTTCCCTCCGGTCCGACTGCTTACACACCAGTGCCTTCCCTGGGTTAGCTGCAGGCCCAAGCTTATCTTGACATGCTGCAGACGGCTGAGCAGCTCTGCCTGCCTGATGCAGGATCATTGTGCTGGTTTCCCTCCGGGTGGTGTGTAGCTCCCTCTAACTGCCCTTCCTGCCTGCTCACTTAGCCGAGGTATTGGTGGTGGGCTCTAACAGGTAGGAGCCTCTTTGGGGAACAGGTGCTGTGAACAGCTCAGTGTGATCACTGTGGTTGTGTTTTGTCATCTGATCTACAACGGACACATTTTGAAATGCAATGCCAATTCGTCCCTTCACCTTGGGCTTTGCAGGTGTCTATAGGTTTTTCTCCAGCCTCTCTCCCAGAATACGTGAAGAAATGAATTCCTCTAGTCTCTCCTCCAAAACAGATAGATGCATGTATTTTTATTCTGGGCTCTGGGGAAGCTGAGAATACATTTCTTTTTTGAATCTCTTGTGTGCCATATGTGTTTCGGGGCCTGTAACCGATCCATGGCTCACTTGCAGGAAATGGTGGCTTGTGCCTTGGGCATTCCAAAGAACAGGATCAACTGCCACGTGAGAAGGGTCGGCGGGGCTTTCGGAGGGAAATCGAGCAAGCCTGGGCTCCTGGCAGCAGTGGCAGCTGTGGCGGCAAACAAGTGAGTGTGAGGCGTGGGTCCTCCGCCCTCCGATCCTACATGAGATTTCTCAAAAGATACTTGAAGTCCAAAGCCAAGGGCCTGCTGTCCCCATCCAGGCCTAACTAACGAGGGCCATTGCCAAACGGCCCAGAGTTGGGCACGCTTCCCCTGGAACTTTCAACCCGAATCAGCAGTGGTGCATGGATTCTACTTCACTGCCCTCTCTGTAATTTCAGCCTAAAATCCTTCCTATTGCTCTACAACAAAGAAAAAAAGAGTAAGTGGAGCAGACGATTTGATCACTCCACAGTATTTATGGACAGGAGCAGAACTCCATCGTCTACATTGGTAGAACCAAACAGGACACTAAGACCTTGCCTTGGCTAGCTCACTCTTTGTTAAGGAAGAGGCCACCTCATAGCACATTAGCAAGTAATGTATTTATAAGGCTACTCGATAAACTGCTGTGCTTCCTGGAAGAGCTATATGGCTAGCAGACAGGAGATGGAGAAAGATGCTCTCCTTCAAATACCCATTTGAACCTTTTCAATTATGTAACATGTGCCTGTGCACAGAAATAGATGACTTTTTAAAGGAATGTATAACCATTACTCATGCACACAGTTAGTAAGACTTCTGAAATGGTGCTGGAGGGAGCAAATCATAAATTCTGCCTCACTGAACAGACCAGATGTTCTCAGGTAACCCAGCACCTTAGCACATACATGTACACACACACATAACACACACACAACACATTGTGAAAATAATTGCAAAGGCATGAAGCATCTGTTGTATTTTAGTGGTCCAGACCAAATTCCCAGTAGATTGTGATTCCAGGACTTTCCTAAAGGAGGTCATCTTAAGTGGGGTATTGGGGCCGGCGCCGCGGCTCACTAGGCTAATCCTCCGCCTTGCGGTGCCGGCACACTGGGTTCTAGTCCCAGTCGGGGTGCCGGATTCTGTCCCGGTTGCTCCCCTTCCAGGCCAGCCCTCTGCTGTGGCCAGGGAGTGCAGTGGAGGATGGCCCAAGTCCTTGGGCCCTGCACCCCATGGGAGACCAGGAGAAGCACCTGGCTCCTGCCTTCGGATCAGTGCAGTGCGTCGGCCGCAGCGCGCCAGCCACAGCGGCCATTGGAGGGTGAACCAACGGCAAAGGAGGACCTTTCTCTCTGTCTCTCTCTCTCTCTCATTGTCCACTCTGCCTGTCAAAAAAATTAAAAAAAAAAAAAGTGGGGTATTGGAAGAAGAGCAAGGTAAGGTAACTCTCAGGATGCTGAAGGGAGGCTGTCATGGGTTTTGTGTGTGGGTGTCATGATCAAGTGATGTTTCCTTAGAAGGTGGCCTCTGCTGCTCTTCTGGGGCAGGCTGGAGGTGGTAATGGCCAAAGAAGGCTTCAGATTCCAACAACCCCAATCGTCTGGCTCAGGCAGGAGAACGTCTGGAATCCTAGAAATGTGGGAGAAGAACTAAATAGCAGGGCTTGAAGATGAATTAGTATTTATATGAAGCATGTAAGAAATTAAGGCTCAGAGCTGAACCTGTGGGACAGTTCATGAACAGCTCATTGACACCATTAACAAGAGAAGAGTCTGCTCATGAAAGCTAATAATGAAGGAAACGGAGATCTCTGACGTAATTTCCTAACTACTTAGAGTAAATCCAATGAACAGCTGTTGACCACTGAGGGTTATACACAAAAACTGAGGGTTATACACAAAAACTGAGGGTTATACACAAAAACAATCACAAAAAAGTCACTTTATTATGAGGCTTAAGGCAGATCAACAGAAAAGGAACTTGTTAAACATGCAAATAGTTGCCTAGTTGCCCCGTTTATCATGAAAAAGCAAGTAATTCCTAGTCTTCTACCTAACCTCCCCCCTTGGGAGCAGTTCTACTCTTTGTCTCTTATTTGTGTAGTCAAGGGGTTGATGATGATTCTAGAACATCCCCAACACCTAAACCTAAAATCGCAAATCATTTAAAAATGTAATTCTATTTCCTTCTCTCCAGGACTGGCTGCCCAGTGCGTTTTGTTCTCGAGCGTGGGGACGACATGTTGATCACTGGAGGACGCCACCCGTTACTGGGGAAATACAAGGTGAGTGGAGGGGCAAGTCAATGCAGGCAGCGCACACCCAGGAGTCACTGACCAGCAGTCTCAAGTACCCACAGAGCCCGGGGCTCGCCCTCCCCAGCTGACTGCTGTCCCTTCCTACCGAGCCTCAGCACTGCACTCTGTGACACTTGAGTCAGGGCACGTAAAAGGAGTAGGAATCGTGACGTGGGGAATGGGAGAGAGGCTCAGAGCAAGGCGAAAGTGGGAGCAGAAGTGCTGGCACCTGCTGCCCTTGCAGTGTCTGAGGGCCTCTGGAATCCAGATGTGTAGGATTTAGGCTGACACTTGTCAAAGCCTGGTTCATCCCATGCATTCATAATCCAGCTACACAAAGGCTTCCATCTTGCTGAAGGGCACTCTTCCAACCGCTTAGAAGGGAACAGAATTTATTGCTATTAAATTAAGGGTAAAATAAGCATCACAAAACTCAGACACAAAAACTCGGGCTTTTCAGCCCATAAGACAAGACCTTTGGTTTCTTCATTTCTCACTCCACTGTGGACTAGAAATCCCTGCTCAGCCATCGAGTCTTCCAGAAGACCTCCCTCCTCCCACCCCGGCTGACCCTGAGTGCGCTACAGAGCTCATTGGTTTGGCATCATAGTTACCAAGTGCTTCTGGAGTGCCAGGTGCTGTCCAACTCTTTACTTCCCAGGTACCCGGTGCAGACTTCTAACCTTGAGCATCTCACCAAGAATGAACTGACCGGTATCAACCCCATTTTCCTGCCAGACTTCTGGCTTCTTGGAGCGGCAGTAGTGGTGGCAGAGAGGGGGTCCTATCTCTGTATTTCCATTTCCCTAGAACCTAGCACAAATGAGGTGCCCAACAAATGTGTGCCATAAGGAAGTACACAGCAGGTAGCCATCTGTGGAGGAGGTGTGTAGTCAGGCAAAAAGAGGTCAGACAAGCTCCTCCTTGAAGTGATCCATCATTCCTTATTCCTTCTCCTTTCTCACTCCTGCTCCTCCCCTGCAGCCCATACCTGGGGTCGCTGGACGCAGGGTTCTCTCCCTTTCTTCTTCCCTCCCCAACAGCTGCTACGACCACATCAGAGCTCCCTGACACTGACCCTAGCTGCAAAGCCGTCTTCAGGACTAGGAAGCCCAGACCCCAGCCCAGCCCACCCAGGAATTGCCCCTCCTCAAATTTCTGAAGAATTGTGGAAAGAGAGAGCCATTTACTCCTCAGCTGGAAGGCATAGCCAGAAAGAAAAGGGAATACAAGAGTGAGACAGATGTGCATCCCCCATGGGAGCTGGCCATGCTGGACAGCTGCCTCCCAGATGCTGCTCCTGCTGGCGGCAGGAAGGGATCCAGATCAGCTTTCACACTGCTTCACCGCACCTGTAAGACACATCAAAGGGAGGACTCAGATCTCTCCCTCCCTCCCTCCCTTGATCCCTCTCTCTCTCTCCCTCCCTCTCTCTCTCCCTCTCCCTCCCTCTCTCTCTCTCCTTCTCCCTCCCTCTCTCTCTTCTCCTCTGTCTCTCTCCCCCTTTCCCTTTCCCCTCCTTCTCTTCCTCCCTCCATCACACAGAAACTAGCTCACACAGAACAACACTTACATATTTGCTAAATATGATAAACTAATACTTGTCTCTCCTCTTTTTAATTCCCCTTTAATCTTCTTTTTTTCCTTCTTTCCACTTCCCTCTTCTTTATTCCTCCTTTCTCCCCTTCCCTTCCCTCCTATTTATCCCTCTAAGCATGCTGGTTCCATCTGAATCCATTGATTTCACAACTTACTAATGAATGAGACACACTGAACAAGATGGTATTTCTGCTGCAGGGACCAGAGATGCTGGTTAAAATGCAGACTCCTGAGCCTCAGCCATAGCTCCTGCTTCTGAATTTCTAGGGGTTGTTGGGTGCCTGGATATAGGCTCCAGCAGGAAGCCCTGCACTGGAAGTTTGGAGCAAGTGACTCCTAGTGTTCCCTCCAACTCCAAAGACTGGAATTTACTGAGCCCAACAAACACTGAGATATTGCACTAAGAGTTATGGGAGACACAAAGAAATCTGATGCATGGCACTTGACGTTCTGGGGATGCAGCAGTTACATCTGAGGAGCGAGTTAGTGACGACGTCAGAGTGAACTGGTGGCACATGGCTAGCAGCCAAAGAGGAGTCCTGGCACATGATGCCCTGACTTCAGAAGATGGAGCGCTGCGTGCTGCCCTCGTCAAGGAAGCCTTGGTAGCTAGCAAATCCTCATTAGCTATTAATTAGAAAAGGTAGATTGCTCATGCATGCTTTTCTCATTGATAATCATGAGACAGCATCAACCACAGCAAGAATAAGTAGCTATGTTAATTGAACTGTTTAATTGCTTGCAACACGTGGCTCTATGTGAATGCTCTTTTGAGGATGACAGTGACCCTGGGAGTTAGGTCACTGGTTCTCAAAGCATGGTCCCTGAACCAGGGCACCAGCATCACCTGAGAATTTGCTGTAAATGTACACCCACAGGCCCAAGCTCACTGGATCAGAAATCCTGTGGTGGCGCCCAGTTTTAGCAAGCCCCTTAAGTGACTTTGATGAATGTGAAATTTTGAGAACATGGGGCTGGGTAATAGTTTTGTCCCCATTGTTAAACATGGAGCTCCTGAAGGTGAGTTGGGTGGCCCAAGGTTACTTGGCTGGTGAATGATGGACCCAGAGTTTGAACCCAGGCAGACTGACCCCCGCCCCCCGCCCCGCCCCAGCCCACACGTATCAGGAATGGAAGGAACTCTCACTCCTACTCTCCAAATGGCCAGCATGCAGTACGCACACTTCATGTGCTCATAGAAGTAAATGTTTGCTGTTCACAGATTGGCTTCATGAACAACGGGAAAATCGAGGCAGCAGACATTGAATATCATATCAACGGAGGCTGCACACCAGATGACTCTGAACTGGTATGTGACTCACAAAACTATCTGGGGTTCCAGTGACTCATGATGAGAGATTAACTGTGAGTTTGGTTTCTTAGAGTACAGGCTTTCTTAGTTGATGTCCACCAACCCATGTCTACCTGGCATGGAATGTGGCTTGCAAGCAAGGGTGACCCAGATGGCTTCCAGGTCTGTACCACCGTCAGGCTGCGTGGCAGCCAGGGATCCCCTGGCTTACTCTGCAGCTCTGAGAGCTTTGTCCAGGAGAAACATTTCCATTTGCTGTCTTCAAGGCAGGACATGCGTGTTTGATGGATACCTCAGGCTGCAGCCCAGAAGACTCGCACAGAGTGGAGCTAATCATCTCTTCTCCTTTCCCAGTATCCTCACCCTAGGCAAGGCCAGGAGGGGTCAGCGACAGACACACTTGGCAATTGGAAGGAGGGCAGAGGTTTGGGCCTGCCCCAGGCAAATCTCTCCTCTTCTCACACCAAGGGAAACCTCTTCTCCACACACATGTCAGCATCTCCCTCTCAGGGCTGCTTCTATAAGCTTACCCAGGCCCAGCTGCTCCTGCAAAGCCTCCTGCTCCCAAACCACATGGGTCCCTCTCACGGCCCCTTTTGCTCACAGAATATCCCCTTGATGCCAGGTGTGAGGCTGTCACTGGCCTATTTGGCTTTTCCTTGTTCTACCCTAGTGTTTCTGCCTCCTCTGAAAGCTCAGCTCGGGATGTGTCTTGTCTCTACCTGCTCATCTCACTGGGGAAGCCCCACCTGTTCACTTGGCTTCCCAATGAGCCCTAGCACTGAACAACACATCCCACTCCACTTATGTGTGGGGTCTTCACGGCCCACCCTTCTGTAGCTTCACGACATGTAAAGCAATCATTTTTTTTTAATTTATTTTCTTTATTTGAAAGTCAGAGTTACACAGAGAAAAGAAGAGGCAGAGAGAGAGAGGTCTTCCACCCGCTGGTTCACTCCCCAATTGGCCGCAATGGCCGGAGCTGCACCAATCTGAAGCCAGGAGCCAGGAGCTTCTTCCAGGTCTCCCATGCAGGTGCAGGGGCCCAAGGACTTGAGCCATCTTCTACTGCTTTCCCAGGCCATAGCAGAGAGCTGAATCAGAAGTGGAGCAGCTGAGTCTCAAGCCAACATCCATATGGGATGCCAGCACTGCAGGCGGCAGCCCAACCCACTATGCCACAGTGCCAGCCAACCATCATTGTTTTTTTTTTTTTTAAAGATTCATGTATTTATTTGAAAGGCAGCGTGAGAAATAGAGATTTCTCCCATATGCTGGTGTAATCTCCAAATGATCGCAACAGTTAGAGCTGGGCCAGGTTGCAGCCAGGAGCCTGGAACTCCATCTGGGTCTCCCACGTGGGTGGCAAGAACCCAAGTAGTTGGGCCATCTTCTGCTGACTTCCCCGGGTGCGATAGCAGGGAGCTGGATCAGAAGCAAAGAACTCAAACTGGTGCTCTGGCGTTGCAGGCAGCAGCTCAACCCACTGTGCCCCAGTGCTGGTCCCCAGAGGTACCACGTTTAATTCTCAGAACAGATGGTCTCCAAGTACAAATACTTGCATGTACCAGAGTGCTGTGGAGGAGAGGCTGCCCTGAGATCCAGCAATGCTTGTTTGCCCCAACTCCACAGAGAGCTGGGGATGACTGTACTCTCCCGCAGATCCGTTCTTTCCATTCTGATTCCCCGAGGAGGCAGGTGTGGTAATTCAGGAGAGCCCCCGCTGCCATCAGTGCCACAGCACAGTCGTCCCTCAGCACACACAGGGAATGATTGGAGGCCCTGTGGAGAGACCAAGAGCTGCAGGTGCTCAAGCCCTTTGTCTAAAATGCTGTAGGATTTGCCTGTAACCCATGCGTGTGTCCTGCATCCTTTAAATCATCTCTTGCTACTTATCACACCTAACACAACACAAATGCCATGTATGGAATTCTTATACTGTGTTGTTTAGGGAATAATGATCAAAGACGTCTCTACATGCTCAGTGCAGACGCCCTTTTCTCAAATATTTTCAGTTCAGGGTGGTTGAACCCATGGATACAAAGGGCTGACCATAATTTGATTAGGTCACTGTCAGAAACTTTGGGAGTTTTCATGTTTTAAGTATGGAAAACATCCCAGGAAATTTTAAAGAAATTGAAATTTCTAACCTAAAGAAGAAAAATGTGTGAATGTTCAAACTACTCAGGAAATGTTTTAAAAAGCTAACTTTTTTGAAGGTGATCAAATTCCATGTATTTCATAGATACAGATTTAGGTGCAAAGTGATACTTCTTCCCACCCTACCCTCTTCCCACCCAGGCTCCCGCCCTCCTTCCTACTCCCTTTCTTATTCTTTCCTTTAATTTTTATGATGATCTACTTTCAGTTTATTTGGTACTCATAAGATCAACCCTAAACTAAGTAAAAAAGTCAATAAATGGTAACCAGAAAACATTGTTCCTCAACAGTAGAGACAAAGGCTGTGAACAATCATCAAATCTCAAAATGTCAATGTCACTCATATGCATTACATTTTTTATACTCTACTAGTTACCACAGATTAGGGAAACATATGGTATCTGTTTTTGGGGGACTGGCTTATTTCACTAAGTATAAGGGTTTCCAGTTGCATCCATTTTGTTGCAAAGGACAGGATTTCATTCTTTTTTATGGTTGAGTAGTATTCCATAGTAGTGTATGTATACCACATTTTCTTTATCCAATCATCAACTGATAGACATCTGGGTTAATTCCATATATTAGCTATTGTGATTTGAGCTGCAATAAACACGGAGGCGCAAACAACTCTCAGAAATCTGAAAACAGACCTACCATATGACCCAACAATCCCACTCCTGGGAATTTACCCAAAGGAAATGAAATCAGCATATGAAAGAGTGATCTGTACCCCTGTGTTTAAAAAGCTAACTTTAAGTTGTTTCCATTTCTACCAAAGACAGAACATAAATTGGTTTAAATTGTAGAAATACCTTTTATCTCTCAATGTAAATGTGGGCATTTATAGAAGTAAAATGTATGTAATTTAATATTAAGTAGATGGCCACTCAAGTAAATAGTTGGGGACCTTGTGAGATCCCTCTGTGTGGTGGCCCGGAGACTCCATGCATCCGGAAAGGGTTGGCATTTCTCCTGCCTGGACAGGGAATTTGATTAGTGCCCCCTTAACAGGGTGTCAATCCAGATTTCCTAATTTTAATGCACTGTTCACCTTGGAATACTTTCAGGTAATAGAATATGCTTTGCTCAAACTGGAAAATGCTTATAAGATCCCCAACCTGCGTGTCCGAGGCCGAGCCTGCAAGACCAACTTGCCGTCCAATACGGCCTTCCGGGGGTTCGGGTTTCCCCAGGGAGCCTTTGTGACAGAGACCTGGATGTCAGCTGTGGCAGCCAAATGCCATCTGCCGCCAGAAAAGGTAACAAGGCGTGATCCTCAAAACAAGGTCTTTACGTGGATAAAAGGGCAGTCATTCAGTTCCCAAACTCGTGTTGTTCTGGGACCAGCATTGTGGGGTAGCAGGTATGGGAGCTGGTTCAAGATCCAGCTCCTCCACCTTCTGTTCCAACTCCCTGTTAATGGCCTGGGAAACCAGGGGAGGATGGCCCATGTGGGAGACCCAGAAGAAGCTCCTGGCTCCTGGCTCTAGCCTGGCCCAGCCCTGGCCATTGGGCCACTTGGGGAGTGAACTAGAGAATGGAAGATCTCTCCCTCTCTCCCGCTCTCTCTCCCTCTCCCTCTCCCTCTCTCTCTCCCTCTCCCTCTCCCTCTTCCTGTAATTTTACCTTTCAAATAAATAAAAAAATAAATCTGTTAAAAAATCACACTGTCCCTTAAATGCTAAACTTATTATTTTTTTTTTTTTGACAGGCAGAGTGGACAGTGAGAGAGAGACAGAGAGAAAGGTCTTCCTTTGCCGTTGGTTCACCCTCCAATGGCCACTGTGGCCGGCGCGCTGCAGCTGGCGCATCGCACTGATCCGAAGCCAGGAGCCAGGTGCTTCTCCTGGTCTCCCATGTGGGTGCAGGGCCCAAGCACTTGGGCCATCCTCCACTGCACTCCCGGGCCACAGCAGAGAGCTGGCCTGGAAGAGGGGCAACCGGGACAGAATCCGGCACCCCGACCGGGACTAGAACCCGGGTTGCTGGTGCCGCAGGCAGAGGATTAGCCTATTGAGCTGCAGCGCCAGCTCAACTTATTTTCAATGTATTCTTTCATGCTGATTCTGTGACCTTTGACAGCTAATCTCTATGATGACCTCACTGCCTGTGGATCTTGTTATAATGGTGGACATTTTCATCCACCAGGTTAGAGAGTTGAACATGTACAGGACAGTTGATAGGACAATCCACAAGCAAGAATTCAATCCAGAGAATCTGATAAGATGCTGGGAGAAATGTATGGAAAATTCTTCATACTGCAGCAGGAGAAAAGCTATAGAGGAATTTAACGAGCAGAACTATTGGAAGAAGCGAGGAATAGCCATTATCCCCATGAAATTCTCCGTTGGATTTCCAAAGACTTTTTATTATCAGGTAATTTTCAGAGGTGCTTGTAAGTCTGAAACTTCTTTTCTGAGGGTCTCATAATAAAAGATCTATTGATTCTAATGCTTAGGAAATAGCTTAGTAACTCCAGGGGTTTGGGTGCTGGTTTGGCAGCTGTGTTTCTTTTGCTCTAGGAGCTATGGTGCTATCAGTTGGTGAACAATTGCTGATCACAAAGAAGGTCTACAAGGGAAACCAATGTTTAGAACACCACTGGTCTCATTCACAGATTGTTCTGAGGACCGCCTCAAGTCACAGTCCCCTTGAATATTTGTTGGCATGCTTTTGTGTAACCCTTAGCCATAATTTCTGGAAGGTTCTCTGAACTGTAATATCTACCCTCTGCCACTCACTCTTGATTTTTAACTCATCACAGTCACACTGCTGTGGATTTCACTTTCAGGCTCCTCGCTCTAGGGGTCAAGCTAAACCCTTCTTACTCATCTGTCTATTCACCTGCTAAGTACCAGGCTTAAATGCCTGATGACAGGATGGATGGATGGATGATGGGTGATGGATGATGGATGATGGGTGATGGATGATGGATGATGGGTGATGGGTGATGGGTAATGGGTGATGGGTGAACACACTGTTTCAGGAATGAAAAGATGAAACAATTTTTGTGGGTATTGTATCTTCTGCTGCAATTTCTTTGAAATTGCTCTACACGTTCTAGAAAAATAATCTCTGGTTGTGTGGTCCTTCCTAAAAAGACCCATTGAAAATCTACAGAGAAGACACCAACATTTCTGCCTGTGATTCACTGATACTGTCTGTAGATTTTCCCAAAAATATAGTTCATCTTGAGAGTATGGAAACAGGCAGATAAGCTAAGAATGAGTCTTTCAAGATTAGTTCTATAGAAATCAAGCAAAGACAGATCCCTAAAAGGCAGTGTTAGCTGGGTTTTTAAAGGACCTTTCTTTTCTCAAATAATTGAGTTTTGAAGGATTACATTCAAAGACTATTGGAACAGATGAAAATATCTAAACGTTCTTACACTGAATGCCCAGGGCTTCCTTGCCTGAGAAATGAGATTTGACTTGGTCCTATGCTTCCTGTGGGAGGCCCCGGAGAAAGAGCAACCCCAGTGCTTAACTTGCTCCAAACTGGGTCATGTGCTTGCTTCAGCAATTCCATTGCTCTGCTTGCGTTTTTCTCTGGATGATCTGGAAACACAGTCTTTACTTTGTAAACAGAGATTTCTTTTAGATGTTTCACCACACCCAAAATTGTGGTTGCCAGCAACTCCTAAGCTCAGGGAAGACAATAACTAGTTTAGCATTTTAAAATTCAAGCTAATTTTAACATGTCCAAAGTTGTCTAACTCTGATCCACCTTTTAGTCACACCCTATCTTCTAGAACATTCTGTCCAGCCCCCTCAAAACTTCCATGACTAGGATTCTGCTTGCTCAAGACAATGCTCTTGAGAGACGATAATCTCAGATCATAAATTGTTCCCATCTGTTAAAATGTGTGGAATGAGGAATTTAACAAGATTCTGGAAATCTCCATTTGTTCCCCATTTAGTGATCTGAGACACTACTGAGAACCCCTATGGGACAAGGGGACTCAGAGCATCATTTACACCTGATCATATGGATAGCTGCTTAGCACATCTCCTTTCAAAGAAAATTGTGAAAATATACTTTTTCCCGGAATCTCATTTCCTTGGGTGAGGTCAGGTCAAGTTTCCCCACCAAGCAAGGCCTGAGATCCAGAATTACAGGGGAGGGATCGGGGATTTCCATTAATGTTACCCCTCCATGTTGTGGGTCTGCTTCTTGGTGAGTAGAAATGAAAACCTCCGTCACCAGTAGTTGTCGCACAAAGTCATTTGCAGCAAATCAGGAGACCGTGAGGAATCCTTTCCAAAGCTTTGGTTCTCCAAGCAAAGGGAAGCAGGTGTCTTTTATCTTAGGGGAAACAAATATGCAAGAAAGCGCATTCTTGTCAACACATGTAGGGGTGGGCACAAGCTCATGCAAGCACAATTTGGAAACATGCTTAGACACCACTCGTTAGGGTATTTAGGCTTAAACTCCTCCCAGGGGGAAGAACTTAGCATTAAAATTAGGAAAAATTAATGCTCAGTCAATTCTTGGACATTTGCACAGGCTCTGTTGTCCTGGCTGTGGTCATGTGGTTCTAGTTAGAATCCGGTGGGTTGAAGCTACCTGCTTCCTCTCTCTGGGCCTGAAAGACAGCTTTTGATGAAATGTTACTTTTCGGCCCACATCCCCAGGTGAGGGGGTTCGTGTTACATGGGTTATTTTTGTGCTATTCAGTTATTCTGATAATAACACAGCACGTGTGAGCAATGAGATTATGGACAAATAAGATTTTGTTTTTTTCATATTTTGCTGTGTTTTATTCCATAATTCTCTGCATGCTTTTCACTCCCCAGAAGCAATTGAGAGTAATATGCTCCGAGGAATGAAGGGAAAGAGTTCATTAGGATGGAGTGTCAATCCCCAAACGACATCTAAGGGCGAAGAGTCTGTAGCCCAACAAAGAAAAATGAGCTCTGGTTCCACCTGGTTGTTAACCGTTGGCTCCGTTCGTCATTCCTTGCAGAGGAGAGGCAGTGAGGAGCTCTGCTTGCTGAATTCAACCTTACCCTTCTCAGAAAGGAGCAGCCCAGCAGGCATTCGAAGTGTGACTTGTTAGTGTCAATGGTAAAGGACCATGCGACAGCTCCCGACTCAATTCTAGCGAGAAAATATGAATTCAGGCTTTGCTTTACTCACGGTTTCCAAGGAATGGCACCTTTGCTGTTCTTGCGTGGCACACACCTTTTGATGAAAACATTGGTCCAGTATCAGTGAAACTGTGGCTTTATTTCAGTGGCTTCTGGCACTTCATTAATGACTGCCTCGCTGTCAGAGATTCCTGTACGGATGCCAGGAAGAACGGATTTCTCATTTTATTTCCAGGCTGCTGCTCTGGTCCACATCTACACAGATGGATCTGTGTTGGTTGCTCATGGTGGAGTTGAATTGGGTCAAGGTATTAACACCAAAATGATACAGGTGAGAGAGGTTGTTTTACTTTTGCCATCAGCCAAAATTAGGCTTTGTGAAATATTCCCAGAGTCTGTAGGGTATCACTGTTGAGTTCTGTGATGCAGTGACCGGACGCCCACAAATGTCCCTCGGAGCACATTCCGGATGACCTGGAAATGAACCAACTAGAACTTAGAAAGAGGGTTTCACTTCCCTTCCCTGGTCGCTGGGGCTTCACCTAAATTCAACTTCCCAAGGGACCAGCAGCTCTTAACCCTTGACTGAAGTGGCTACACCCTTTCATGGGCTCCAAAGCTCAGGTGCTGGGCAGCCAGCATTTCCTGTATATAATTAGCAGCCAAATGCAGACTTCCTGGTGTCAGACAACCTGTCCATGCTCCCATTAGCAAGTCCACATACCATGCTTACTTGATAAAAGGAACCTCATGTAGGGTTGGGGGTCCTTTCTCTGGAATGTGGACCCTGGCTGCAGGTCCAGTGGACTTCTCTGTGAGTGAGGATCTCTGTTTCCAAGATTCACCTCTCTCCATAAAAACCTGCTTTAAATCCCTGCTGTGTGTCATTAAGAGACTTTTCCTGACCCTTGGCTCTTGGTAAACTTGGGGTGCAGAGAAGCACTTAACATTTTAATGAGTTTTGAGATTTTTTATAAGCTTTGGTTTGAGTATGTCTGCCCGAACCATAGATTATGAAATCTCCTATCACTTTTTAAAAAGAGTTTCTAATAGATTTGAATTATTGTTCCAGTTGCACCCTTGATGGGCACATTCTGTCTGCTTGTTTTTCGGGGCAGGTGGCCAGCCGTGAGTTAAAGGTACCAATGTCCTACATACACATCGGCGAGATGAATACTGTGACAGTGCCCAACACAATTGCCACCGCAGCCTCCACTGGTGCAGACGTCAATGGAAAAGCTGTACAGGTGATGATTTTACTAACTCTCACCCTTCTTTCACACTGCAAACTCCTTTTCTCTTCCACTAAAATTCTCATGCTTTTTCCCATGAGCGCCAGATGTAAGAGGGTACACACCACCTCCTGTTGTTCCTCTGTCCCACCCGAAATACTGGGCACTGTGGTATTGTTTAGCAGCATAATTTTTACTAAAATGTGTAAAGAAAAAGTAATACATTTGATGAACACCACTCCAAGAGGCTTACTTCACACAGGCAGACATGACGCCTCTTCCTGAAGAGTTGTTGGAAGTACAGAATACAGCATGACACAGCCACTGCGAACCTGAGACCCGCAGAAGCCAGGGGGCTCATGAAAGACTCAGACGTAAAGGCTGACCAGAGAGGCAGGGAGGGAGGCAGCATTGCCTTTTGACATGACTCAGAAATTCAGCCAAGTTACAGAATGAGTTTGTTGAGTTACAAAGCAATCCTTTAGAGGAAGGGGTCTCCTATAGCTATAAAAAAGTCCACATTAGCACACCGTCATGCACAGCTTGCTACCAAAGGAAAAACACAGCGCCAAATCCCAAGCCTAGTGTCTTTTGTGCAGAAAGTGCCTTAGACCGATGACTCCTGGTCAGCAGTCAGCCACTGGGAGGCTGCGCTGGAGTCTGAAAGAGCCGGGCAACTGCCAGACAGCTCTGCAGGTGCTTACTGGCCAGTACCTTGGTGTGCCATGCCCAACACATCCACTTGAGCCTGTGTGCTCACTAATTTGTTGCTGAAAACTCCAAATCCAGTTGGAGGAGTTGCTATAGAAACCCCAACAGAGTCCACTCATCTGTCTCATAGCAAACCAATCACAGACCCAGGGTGGCGAGGAAAAGTAGGTGTTTATTATAAGGCACAAAGCAAGGAGCCAGGCAGCTAATGCTCAAACCCTGCACTCTGTGAGGGGTTAAAGGAAGTGAATCCTACAGTTCAAAGTTGGGGTTGAGCAGTGTCTGATGAGTTCAAGTGTGGGCCAGTATCCAGAAGCTTTCCTGATTCTTCAGTGAGGGGGGCCAGCACTGGTCGCCATGGAGCGGCAAAGGTGGGCTCCCATCTGTCTGGGTCTCAGGGTGGATTGGGTATGACTCTGTTTGACCAGGGCCTACGAGCTCCTGAAAAGCCCTCAGAATAGAGGCAAGTGTTGATATATATCGGCTATGTTAATTATAAGAGCAGTTTGAGCCTTTTTGAATCAGGGTCTCAGTCCTGGCTTTGGTCTTGTGTCAGTCCCTTAAGTTAGTAAGTTCATCTTCATAGAGGAACTGCAAGCTAAGGAAGAGGTACTGGGCCTGATAAAGCAAAGGCGCTAGGAGTAGGGGCTCAGCTTCACTCTTCTATTAAAGAGCAAGGCAGTTGTCTCTGGAGGCTTTGAGGATAGATTGGCACCACTCCTATACCCGTGCTGTTTCACTTCCAAAATGTTAGTAGAGCAAAGTGATAACAAATTCTAACATTAAAGACCTCCTGACGGGAGAACAGAGATGACCCCAAACTGCCCTCCTAGCAGGACAGACTTGTTGAGTGCAGGATTCTGGTACCCGAAAAGGGGATAGGTGGAGATGTCCCTGCTCTGGTCAGTTGAATCTGAACACCAAAGCCAAGAATAACTCACTCACTGGCAGTAACCCTGTGGCCACTCCAGTTCCAAGCATTTTTTGCACAAAGCTTTCACATGTACTTGTAGAGTTGAGTAACTGAGATAATAGTTCTGTAGTTACCAAATATTAACATTTAAAACAACCTTTGGAGCCACTGCCTGCAATGTCAACATCCTATATGGGTGCCTGCTTGAGGCCCAGATGCTCCACTTCTGATCCAGCTCTCAGCTAATGTGCCTGGGAAAGCAGCAGAAAATGGCTCAAGTTCTTGGGCCTCTGAATCCATGTGGGAGACCCAGAGGAAGCTCCTGGCTCCTGGTTTTGGCCTTGTCCAGCCCCAGCTGTTGCAGCAGCCATTTGGGGAGGTGAACCAGCAAATGGAAGATCTCTCTCTTCTCTCTCTCTCTCTCTCCTCTCTCTCTCTCTCTCTCTCTCTCTAAGTCTGCCTTTGGAATAAATAACACAGGGGCTGGCGCCATGGCTCACCTGGTTAATCCTCCGCCTGTGGCACCGGCATCCTATATGGGCACTGTGTTCTAGTCCTGGTTGCTCCTGCATCCCATATGGGCGCCGGATTCTAGTCCCAGTTGCTTCTCTTCCAGTCCAGCTCTCTGCTGTGGCCCGGGAGGGCAGTGGAGGATGGCCCAAGTGCTTGGGCTCCTGCACCCACAGAGGAGACCAGGAGGAAGCACCTTGCTCCTGGCTTTGGATTGGCTCAGCGCCGGCCATAGCGGCCATTCGGGAAGTGAACCAACGAAAGGAAGACCTTTCTCTCTGTCTCTTTCTCTCTCTGTCTATAACTCTACCTGTCAAATAAAAAAAAAGAATAAATAAAATAAATCTTTAAAAAACACAAAAAACAACCTTCCCAGGTAGGTATTAGTTGAGTTGACCATTTCATACAGACCAAGATACATTGGAGAGCAAATGGAGCCACTTATATTAATTCAAGGACAACAAGTGTAGGTGGGGATTGTTCTGGACTGAGCTGTGAGGTCACCTGGTGCAGGTATCTCTGAGTCACAAATGAGGTCTCCGAAGTGTAGAAAGTGAAAGTCACTCAAATGCTGAGAAGAAGCCAAACCATGCAATCCCAGGTGTGCCAACTCCATTTCTCTCCACACCACCCCGACTTTCTCTGGGCTGACCTGGAGGAGCTCTTGTCTTCACTGTCCTGGCAGAGGTTTTCATGGGCCTGCAAGTGGTCTGTAAAGGTTAAGTGGAACTTCAAACACATAAGGAAATACAAGCAGAGTCACCTTGACTGAGCCGGGGCAGTGGGGTCTGGCCTCCTGCTGGCCTGCTCTCGCCTCCTACGGGATCCTCAAAGCCCCACCTCTGCACCACGTCCACACGGAGCATCAGGGCCTGATCCTGGCCCAGACGTGGAGACAAAGTGCATGGGAGGTGTCTGAGAGAATGTAGAGGCATAGCAAATGGTGTGGGGGAGACCCCAGTCGCACCTGGGGATCCTCACCATTCAGCCCTCCGTCCCTCCCCACCCGCAGAGTGCCTGCCAGACTCTCCGGAAACGCCTGCAGCCCATCATCAGCCAGACTCCTAATGGCACCTGGGAGCAGTGGGTAAGTACCACATGTAGCTGGGGCCTGATGAGCTCCTTGCGCCGACTAAGCAGAAACATCTGTTGCATGATGGCCGCACCCCACCCAGCACCCTCCCCACCCCCTACACTGGCAGCGTGTCCCAGTCACTGAGAGCAGAGAGATCGCTGGGCGTCCTGTTCAAGGGCAGATTCTGAGTCGCAGGTCCGATGCTGCTGGACCATGCTTCAAGTAGCAAGAGCATCAGGGATGGGAAGAGCAGTGATGAACCGGGAACCAGATGTTACTGAAGAGAAATCTGGATCATCTGGATGCCTCCTCACACCTGGAAAAGGAGCTCCGCGATGCCAACGCTGTTCTTATTTAAATACAACCTGGTGTGTGTCTAAGGAAAGTGAGCCCACAGCTCACTATTAGAAACCTGCAAGGGAAAAAAGCGAGACGTTTACGAGAAGTTCTTACAAGAGAAGCTGAGATATGGGATCAAGTTTTGAGAAGTATCTGTGATAAATCCTTGCTATTTTCTGCAAGCACTTTTCAAAAGTTCGTGGGGGAACATGCAGAAGTTTTCCCTGGGTTGTAGTTTTTGTTGGTGTTTCAGAACATGGAAGACCAGATAAGAGGTTGAGGGAGCAGCAGTGTAGCCAAGCCCTGTGAATGTTTAATTAAGCAGGAAAGTGACTTTGATGTCCCGTGGGAAAGCCTCAGGAAGCAGTGATGGAGGACACACTCTGACAGCAAGTTGACTGATCTACCAGGGTTACCCTTTTTTTTTCTGTTTGTTCCTTCGAACCTTAAAAATATAGGTGCATATCCCACCCAGCTGTAGCTGCACCCTCGGCCAGGTTGTCCACCTAGGGGACGGGAAGATGGAGCCCTTACACAGACTGTTCTCTAGGGACCTTGCCTTTACACTTCTGCCATACTTGTTTTCTTCCTCACTTTTCCACTTGACTGTTGAAGACAGCCACAAGCCAGTGCCTATGTCAGAACTCACTTCTGCACTATGCTTTTTCACTCAGCAATATAATATTTCCAATAATAAGGAAACGTATGCAGCCAGAAAATGGTTGTTTCCCTGTGTTTTGCTTCCAGTTGTTTATTTATCCTTTGATAATATCCCTTCTTTGTAGGTTAATGAAGCTTTTGCTCAAAGCATTAGTCTCTCCGCCACCGGATATTTTAGGTAAGAAGTCTTAAAATGCTGTCCTGTAGTCATCCTCTTTGACAATAGAAAAGGAGTTTATGGAAAGGCAGGCTCAAGTGTTTATATTCTAAATAGTAAGTCTATTATTTATTTATTTCATGTTTATAGAAAGACTTTGATCAGGGAGAGAAATGCCATGTTATCCCTACAGGAAGGTAGACAATTTTGAGGTAAGCCTCACAATTTCCTACATGTTATGCCTTAGTGCACATAAACCAGCCACAGGTTTACAGGTTTGACATTGAGTCCTGTGCATATCATGGACAGCTCAGGGTAGTGTAATTTGGTCAAAGCTTTTACTGCTGTCCATCATGGATTAGCTCTTAGGCCTTTCAGTTTTACTCTTTAACAGTGTAGCATTTGGTGCTTCCTACTGTTTCTTGCTCTCCAGAAATCTTGTGCCTTGTATCCTGCCCCTTGTGGCCCTATTCTCTTGTCAGTTTGGGAGTTGGTTATAGAAGCTGTGAATCAAGCCAGAAATGACCCGTCATCCCACACAAATAGTGTGGAGAATTGATCAAGATGTCACATCAGACATGGCAGTTCATCCAAACATCCCACAGGAAACAACACAAAAACTTACCCTACTTTTATCATGTGAGCTTACCTGGGCACGTCTCCTAGGCTTACGGGGAAGGTAACACGATAGCCTGGTAATGTTTTGAAGGACAGAGCTCACATCTGGAGATAGGTTAGGTTTTTCTTGAATGAGGAGGCCATCTCTAGTGTCAGTTGCCCAGAGACTGGCCATGAACTTGGGAAACTGGGACTAAGAGGGTTTAGCCTCTGTTGCTTTCACATGTCAAGACCATGGAAGGCACAGGCACTACTGGGTGGTGAGTATAAATGATTGTAACCAGCAAGAACATCCGTGTATTTGCCCAATAACTGAAAAGAAGTAAGCTGAGTTCTAAATAGGATGAGTTAAATTATCTCCTTTTGTTGTTCTTTTTTATCTCCTATCACGTATCCAAGTCTTATATGAACATTCTATCTTTGTTCAGCTGGGTCATGGGCAATCAACCCAAGACTCCTTTATACAGAATAAGAAAAAAGAGGAAAACACTGTGCCATTAGGCCAATGTAGTGATGGTAGAATCACACATGGACCCCAAACAGAAAGTGAGTCTTGAGTAAAAGCCAAGGCCACTTGGTTTATTCAATGCAAACTCAAGTGTTCTGAGCTTCGTTTTCACTAAGATGAATTCCCCTACAGCAATGGAAAGTTATAAATGGAAAGTTATCTTGGCACACAGGTGTAGAATTCTTTTGGGAGATAAGCAGCCACAAGCAATAGAGGCCAGGCCAACTGCAACAAACAAAGGATACTGAACTCGAAAGGTCCTGTTGGATGATGAAGGTTGGACAGTAATGGAGAAAGACTCATGCAATGGAATCTTTGTTGGTACCCAGCCAGTTGCATGCCAGACTCAAGGATTAGAGCAAGAGCCTTATTACTACACCTGCCAACACCTAGCAAAATGATCTGCGATCTTGAGACACAAGCCGCAGAAACATGGGCTGAGAGCTGAAAAGAGCTAAGATCAGTTGTGTGAGAAATCAGTAACTTCTCAGATACACACTGCATTTGATGTGCTAGAAGCTACCAGGATGGTGTGTGAACAGCCTTAAGGTTGACTCAACAAGAAGCAAATAATGTGTCCGTGTAGAGTTTCTTGTATTCCCTCTACCCCAGAACAAGATGGCTCCAAAGCTTGGGCTAAGACTGAAAGATTGTTAAGAATGGCAGATTCCCAACCAGAGAAGATGGAAGGGTTCAGGAAAGAGAGTAAGATGGCTCATTTCTAGAGCTTTTGTAATTCATTCTGTTTATTTTTTCTTCATGCTATTGAAGAAAATACCAAACTCAATGGAACCAAGACTCCTGGCAACTCTGAAATCTTGAACCCAAGAGTAAATTCAAGAGAAAGCATTAAATTCTAGATCTTTTTTTAAAGATTGATTTATTTGAAAGGCAGAGTTACAGAGAAGCAAAAGAAGAGAGAGAGAGAGAGAGAGAGGTCTTCCATCCACTGGTTCACTCCCCAGATAGCCGCAATGGCTGGAGCTGTGCCAATCTGAAGCCAGGAGCCAGGAGCTTCTTCCAGGTCTCTCATGCGGGTGCAGGGGCCCAAGGACTTGGGCCATCTTCCACTGCTTTCCCAGGCCGTAGCAGGGAGCTGAATGGGAAATGGAGCAGCCGGGGCTTGAACCGGTGCCCATATGGGAAGCCAGCACTGCAGGCGGCAGTTTACCTGCTATGCCACAGTGCCAGCCCCTAAATTCTAGATCTTGACAACTTCCCTTACTGACTCACAGTGCTTGTTTCCATGCTTGTTCCCTCAGTTACTATTTGTTGAGTGCTTCCCACGTGCAGATAGTGCTTTAGGAGCTTGACAGACAGCAGTGAGCCCATAAACCCAACAGCGTCAGCCCACTCATAGCTCACACTCTGCTTCCCTAACTCCTGCTTATTCTGCATTACCACAGCCTCTTCCTGCCTTACCTGCTGCCTCATTGCAGGATCCCATCTTCCTTCCAAGATCCTTTAACTGCCTTCCATTCCTGCCCCTTCTGTCTCTTCTGAGACCTTCTCGCATCAATTATCCCCTCGCTCCGCATCTTTCCTTTGGTGCATTAACTTCCTCTTCTAAATATGCTAGATTTGCTCTGACCTATTAAAACCAGCAGTAATGAATAAAATCAAACAGCAACAACACAGGAAACCATTCTCTCACTCATGCTACCTGCCCTCCCTGTACAAAGTTATGATTTCTCCCTTCTCCTTGCTAGTTCCATCACACATTTTAAGTTAAGTCTGATTTGGCTGCCCCTTACTTCTTTAGCTTTTTAACTTATTATTTATTCTCATTTTATTTGAAAGATAGACACAAAGATGTTCCATCTACTGTTTCCCTCCCCAAATGCCCACAACAGCTAGGTCTGGGTCAGGCTGAAGCTAGGAACCTGGAGCTCAATCCATATCTCCAATGGGTGGCAAGGACCCAATTACTTGAGCCATCATCTGCTGCCTCCCAGGGTAAATATCAGCAGGAAGCTAGAATCGGAAGTGGAGCCAGGACTGGGACCCAGGCACTCCAATATGGGACGTGAGAATCCCAAGTGATGTCTTAACCCCTAAGCCAAATACCCGCCTCTGCCCTTTGCTGCTCAGTCCACTCCAACCTGGCTGCCTCTTGCACCACTCTACAGCAACAGGTGTTGTTGAAGTAACAAAATATTTCCCACTAGACTGTTTCTTATACATGCTCAGCAATTCAACCTAGCTTCAAATTTTTGTATTAGGAGTACAGTTAACTCATGAAGCTCATTTTTGACTGGTTGGGAAAGGAACTACTTGAAGGACTCTCTTGAGAAGCATTTTGGAGCCAGATCTGAGTTCAGCTAGAAATAATGCTGAAGTAGATTAGTGATGCCTGCCCTGGGATGCATCAAGGTATGGGATATAGGGGGTAGTCCAAGATCAGATCCTTTACCTTTGTTATGTCATTTACTCTTCCTCAAACCGTTCAAGTGGAGAATTCTCACTTCTCTTCATAAATGAGGACATTGAGACTCCAACAGGTGTGCATTTTGCCCAGGGTCACACGGCTGGCAGGAAGCCAAGCATGTACTCAAACCTATGATGCAAGAGTCCTTTCTTTGTGGTTTCACCACCCTCCTAACTACATCCAAAACAGGTAGGTGGTGCATTCAAAAAAAGCTGCAGGCCAGCGTCGTGGCTCAATAGGCTAATCCTCCGCCTGCGGCCCTGGCACACCAGGTTCTAGTCCCAGTCAGGGCACCGGATTCTGTCCTGGTTGCCCCTCTTCCAGGCCAGCTCTCTGCTATGGCCTGGGAGTGCAGTGGAGGATGGCCCAAGTACTTGGGCCCTGCTCCCGCATGGGAGACCAGGAGAAGTACCTGGCTCCTGCCTCTGGACCAGCGCGTGCGCCAGCCACGACGGCCATTGGAGGGTGAACTAATGGCAAAGGAAGAGCTTTCTCTCTGTCTCTCTCTCTCTCACTGTCCACTCTGCCTGTCAAAAAAAAAAAAAAAAAACTGCAGAGCTTGATCATCAGGATCAACGTTTCTAGTAACTCTGTTGTTTTTTGTAAAAATCATAAATGATAGTGAATAGCAAAACAATCACATAGCAATAAGTAGAACATTTCTTGAGTCTTTTTGATAGACCAGACAATATTCTAACTGCCCCCATTTAAGTCTCAACAACTGATGAGGAGTCATTATGATTTCCCCCTTTTAGAATCAGGGAAGCCAAGTCTGCACAGTTGGATCTTCCAGTCATAACGAGGGAGTCAGACTCAGCTCAGGAGCCCATCACCTGCACCCTGCACTATGCTTTGTCCAGTGACTAACAGGTGGTCTTACTTAGAGTGACCATGACTCCCACGTACTTAGCACAGTTCCCAACTAGTTTCATTCCCTAGCATTCTCTAGGGATCAAACAAAATAACCCAAATACTTTATACCTGAGTTATGTTACTGTAATTCTTGATTAAAAAAATTAGCTTGAGGGCCAGCATTGTGGCATAGTGGGTAAACCTGCTGCCTGCAATTCTGGCATCCCATATGGGTGCTGGTTCATGTTTCGGCTGCTCCACTTTGGTTCCAGCACCCTGCTAATGGCCTGGGAAAGTAGCAGAAGATGGCCCAAGTAATTGGGCCCCAGCCAACCCATGTGAAAGACCTGGAAGAAGCTCCTGGCTCCTGGCTTTGGCTTGGCCCAGCCCTGGTTGTTGCCACCATTAGGGAAGTGAACCAGAAGATGGAAGATCTCTCTCTCTCTTTCTGTAATTCTGACTTTCTTCTTCTTCTTCTTCTTCTTCTTCTTCTTCTTTTTTTTTTTTTTTTTTTTTTTTTTTTTTAAGATTTATCTATTTAGGCTGGCGCCATAGCTCACTAGGCTAATCCTCCGCCTGTGGCACCGGCACCTGGGTTCTAGTCCCATTCGGAGCACCGGATTCTGTCCCGGTTGCTCCTCTTCCAGTCCAGCTCTCTGCTGTAGCCCAGAAAGGCAGTGGAGGATGGGCCCTGCAACCGCATGGAAGACCAGGAGGAAGCACC